ATGTTTAACCATCATGGATTGCAGTCCGATGACTAACTTTTAGGCTTCTTAAAGCGTATTTATGCCTTGTCAGGTAATCAGTTGTATTGGTACCTGTGTTTGTACCAGTACGTGTACCTGCACTTGTACCTGTACTTGAACCTGGAACATTAACAATCTTGCTGCCTGTTGTCATTCCGTTCGTTATTCTCGAATTCCTTAAAATAGGGTTCCATATTCGATTGAGGTTCACCGCTTCTTCTTTTCTGTTGAAATTATCCGTGTGTTTGTGGATCTCTATTGCCTCCCGTACCAGTCGGCTATAGTATCCCGGATTGGGGGCAATTAGTTCTGTGTTTTCAAACAAAATTATGTGGTCTCCTTCACTAAGTGCGTGTTCTGCCATAGCTGACTTGTTCGCTTGGCCTAGTTTGCAGTTCCTTTTATGCTCTTTTAGTCTTGTTCCCATGGATCGTTTGGTGGTTCCGATATATACCTTCCCACAAGTGCACGATATGCGATAGACCCCTGCTGCTGATAATGGGTCTCTTTTGTCTTTAGCCGACCTGAAGATTTGTTTCGTGGGTTTGAAAACTGTTGGCGAGTTTTGCATCGTGCCTTGGGCCTACACCCGTACAAAATTCAACTGGGCCAGGAACTGAATGTTAACGACCAAAGAAAACGACGTGTGTTAGCTGAACAGGCTCTGGGACAGTTGGCAACTGACCCTAATTTTAATCGAAAAATCATCTTCAGCGGTGAGGGCCATTTCTGAATGAGTGGATACGTGAACAAAAAAAATTACCGAATTTGGGACGATTCAGGAGCGTCCAATGCATCCCGAAAAAGTCACAGTTTGGAGTGGATTTTGGGCTGGAGGCGTCATCGGTCCATATTTCTTTGAGAACGACGTTGGCCAGGCCATAACCGTTAATGGCGAGGACTATGGTCGATGATTCGAAGCAATCGAAACCAAATATTTGTCTTGTGTTCGCGGCTATCTGCAGGGCTGGATTCACATAAGAGTTGAAAGGGCAACAGCCCAGGTCGGCAAAATTGAGAGGGGCGACAAATTTTGGAAAGGGAGGTTGAAAAAATTGTATATTTTGTCACAAAGACCGAATGTTGTCTATACCAGGACGCGGTTGATATTGTAACGAATCTTAAGCCGCCCTTGATCGATATGTTGGCCAGCGAACAAACGGTAATCGCCGAACGGTTAAACAACAAATTTTGGAAAGGGAGGTTGAAAAAATTGTATATTTTGTCACAAAGACCGAATGTTGTCTATACCAGGACGCGGTTGATATTGTAACGAATCTAAAGCCGCCCCTGACCGATATGTTGGCCAGCGAATAAACGGTAATCGTCGATTGAACTCTAGTTGAGTACCGAAACGACTATAGAATTCTAGAACGATCGTTACCGATATATAAAGCCGGCTTCTCGTCCAGAGAGGGCAGTTGAGTTCAGAAAGTGAATCGAGCGGTTAAACAAGGAATTCAAATAGTGGAAATAAATTAAGCGTTAGTTGCTAAGTGTTTTAAATAAATTAGTCTGAGATTAGTGAAATATTGTTGGAAATAAATTTGTTTAAGACAGTAAATTCTTTAATTTGTTACAATATCATCATTCGAATGACAAATCACTCGAGTACTCTGTCAATCACGATTTAAGTTATTTTATCTCAAGAGTATCCATTATTATTAACTGTTTCCTTTGTTATTACAAGTGACTACTTGACTTTAATTGATTCTTGTTGATTATAACATGTGTATTCTGCTATATATGAATGTATGTAAGTGTGAATTTTGAATAGAATTGGCCAATACTTGATGAAAATCCATATTAAAACTCATTAATACAGTTTACTGTATGATTTTCACTATGAATGGTTTTACAAAAACCGCGATACGTGTTTCGCTATACACTAGCGTTCTCTATCGTAAAATAATACGTTGCTTCCAAATTACATCTATTTTATACTCTAAACTCTAACATATTTAATACTTGTATAAATGAATCTACCTAAAGAGTCAAGTATAAATTCATTAACAATATGAATAAATTAAATTTTGGAAAGAACCTTAATTATACTTAACTTTCTTACCTGGAAATGAACATATTCAATAATGGCGAATTATTCAGTTCAGTTTGATCTGTCATAAGATATTGAGAGTTTTGTTCATTTCCATACTCTCCAACATATGGAGTTTTAAACCTTTCTTCTAGAAATGGAGGGGCTTGAATTCATGGTTGAACTCATGTCCATCTGTGATTAAATGAGTGGCATATGTGGAATTTATTTTTCCATTCTGGAAACTATTTTTGTGTTCCTTTATGCGGGCTTTGAAAGTTCTTCCAGTTTGACCTATATAAAACATCGGACATNTTCTTAATGTGCATGCCTAAGTTGTTGTTGGTTTTGAAAGCAATATTTACACCTTTGTTTTGTAGAAAATTTGAAATATTCGTAGTGGGTTGGCCTGAGTAGGTCAAGGTTGAGGATAAAAGTTTAGATGGAACCTTAACCTGGGTATGGGTGTTGATAACAGTGTTAAAACGTGTTCTACACGTCATTCTGAATCAAATATATTGGTCGTATTTTAAGTTTTATAGTTACTTAACATGAATTTCAACTCATGATGAACTAGACTTAAACAGTTAATTAAGGGATTCGCTGACCTTTAATGGATTATTTCCTATAAAATCCCTTGGTTGTTAAGTAACAGATTTGACGAGATTATTGTTCCAAGAGTTGCAGCATTGCTGTATAATCATACCAAATTAAAAAAAAATCATTTGCAGACAACGGAAATATTTAACTGTTCCGGAATGGCTGGCGTATTCTGTATAATAATGTAAAACCAGAAAATTTGCCGCAAATTTCATTCCACACATTCCCCATCAAGGAGAGATATCTCAAAGAATCGAATGGCTTTTAAACATTTTGTTAATAAATAATTGATGTAGTTTAGTCTGATGATAAATTTTTCAAAAATATTGTAAAATCATGCGTTTAAATATTTTATGAAATTGGATGAAAGGATTGAATGAAAATACCTTCAATACACAACGGATTTCATCCTGTGCATACTTATACCACAATGTGTCGCAGTGTGAAAGTCTCACTTGCACTCGGTCCGCATATTTCTAACTAGATACTTTCATTGTCGTTTCAAGGATTTTTCTGCGAATTCTACAGGCGTGTACTTGCTCTACAATTTTACAATCAAAACTAGTCATTATCAGTACTCGATATTCAGCTGTATAAAAAGCAACTATTTTTGAAGAATCGATTCACAATTCACCTTGTAAGCTGATTTTTTTCATTTTGATTAGCGATCTAAAAAATAAACCAATTATTGGTGATTTTTTACGATTATTCAATCAATTGTAATTGTTTAATTGTCGTTGTTTTTTCCTCATTTTCACTGGTACGGGTATTTCATCGAAAATCAGTTCTAATTGCATTGTTCTGGAGTACGGATTATCGTCAGTGGACGTTTCGCAATTTAAAAATCAAATTTTAAAACAAAACGTTTGTACGTAGGTGAGTTGAAAAATCTTCTATCTTGTTTTATAACTTAAAATAGAACAAATTCATTACTTGACTATAATCATTCGGTAGTTTCTCACTGCCCGCTCTGCCCAATTTACTTAGGTCATCCTCAATGCAGTGGGACCGTTACCAATTCGACTTTCTTACTTAATTAATCCTATGTTTAGCTGCCAATGCATGGAGACTTCTTTAATATTGAAGACCTCGGCATATCAAAACACCTGGCCTTTGCTTTCCTCAGATTGAGTGGCTTGAAGTCGGAAACTGAAGGGTTCATCATAGCCTGAAAGTAGGTTCCTACGGGGAATATTGAATCCGTTGTGGGGAATGAGAGGTGCAGAGTTTTTTGTAACTCTTTACTCCCCATCTTTATTTAGGCTCATGCAAGCTAATAAGCCTGATATACTCCTCAACCGTCAGAGCATGACGACATTTGTCGTGGAGTTTTCAGCTCTGAGTGGTACGAATGTCATTCGAAGAGAAGAAGAAAGACGGATGATCGGGATTTTATCTTCGAACTCTGCAGACCATCAGACCGGTCTGTTGAGATTGTTATTCTGATTATTGGATTCCTTGGTGGAATGATGCCCTCTCTACTCTCGAATCGGGCAAAATTTCAGTGATCAAATGGCTCAAAAATGAAAATTTAACATTACTATGAACAAATTCTACTGAATTAATGTCTTCGGTAATTTTCATATATATGTTTTCATCCCTACTTATCATTTTGAATACTTTTAATTTAAGACGAGTTTGTTTTTTGTTTTAAACATCATGTACACGTTTAGACAGTGTATACTTTTAGATTTTATATTCAATGTTTCTTTTTTGTAGTATACTAACAATATTATTCATTTCTTTTTACGAAAAAATAATATCAATATTGTTGATACTATTTAGAAATTCATGCACTAAAATGATTTTTCCGAGTAACTCAAAATATATTATATCTTGATCATCTTCAAAGGAAAGAATTTCGATATTGATGTTTCACGACAAGTTTTTCAAAAACTTGAATGAATCATCAATACCCATGTTTCCTCTGATAAAAATTCAATAATAAGACTCGTTTTGTCAAACCTTTCCTCATATCTATATTAATCGCCCATTTNCTTTTAGGGATTTCAAATCAATTCATACCACATTAGGCAATGGAAGTCCGAACTAATGAAATTCTAAATATTTGTCTTCTGACAATAATATTTAATCTATTTATTTCAATTGTTCTGATGAGGGTAATAAAGTTGCCGAAAACCTGACGGATTATTTGTAGTAGCCCTGCAACCTCACGAAATAAATTGATCAAAACTGATTATTCAATATTATACCTAATGAGGATTGAAAACTGTCCAATATTTTAATATAATTGTGTAATTCGCAGCTATAGAATTTCCTAATGAAATATTTTTTCAATGAAGTCAGCTGCTATAGAAGTATTTATCAAATTCGTTTTTTACAGTTTTGGAAAGATGTCGGCCAAAGCTATAAGGGAAGCGACCGGAAAAAATATTATAAATAAACATCTTGGAGGCGGTACAGCTGCAGTTCAATGCAGATTTGCTTCCGTAAATCAAGATACCAAGTTTGCTGAATTGGTGGCCAACAATCCTTGGTTGAAAACAGAGAAACTCGTCGTTAAGCCAGACCAGCTCATTAAAAGGAGAGGNGCTTTTTTCAGGTGTTATTAGGAGGGGTGGTGTCCGCCAAGAAAGAAATGATCTCCACATTTATCTTTAATCTCTATAAGCTATACACTGAGCTTTATTTCACATACTTGGAAATTAACCCGCTAGTTGTTACTGATAAAGAAATATTCATTTTGGATTTGGCTGCTAAATTAGATGCCACTGCTGATTTCATTTGCAGACCTATGTGGGGAGAAATTGATTATCCACCACCTTTTGGAAGAGATGCCTTACCAGGTGAGTTTATGTGATACAGCTAAAGTTACTGTTTACTGTTAGTTATTTTATTTAAAGATGATGTTTCATTGTTGAAAAGATTCAAATATATTTTAGATAATAAATTACAAATAATTTCTGCATGATTAGTTTGCGGTACCCTTCAAGCTTGTACATTATGAATGTCTATTCTAGAGAAAGTATAAGCATCAAATCCGTTGTATTGTTTTCTCTTTTTATTTGTCTTTTCGCCAGGCATGTCGGAGAAGCCGGAATTAATTGAAGTTAACGATGTTGGGAAGCCCAATTAGAAGAGTCAATAAAAATGGTCTGAAGGTTAATCTACACATTCTGGTTACGCTTCATTTCGAAATAGTATTTAATGCACGTGATTTGAACCTGAGTTGAACGATTGAATAATAAATTTGATTATTCTGACATAATTACCTGTGACTTCGCAATTTACATTTTAAAAGCATTCCTTTTCTTTGTCGTCACCACACCAACCCTAGTAATGGACCAATTTTCACAAGTATAAGGAATTTACTTAGTTAATTTTTTAGTTGAAATATATTACTTCTTAAAAACGCCATTTATTCATTCTATTAATTTGAACATGAAATGCCTGTCATTATACAATACAGGGTGGGCCAATTTCTCATGAATGACATTCTGGAAAATAGTTCGCTCAGACCCGTTGTATTTTATTTCGAGGGGGAAACTTTTTAGGCCTGTTATCAATCTAGTCACTTTCACACCCTTGACGGAGTCAAGCAATACCTTATTTGAAAGGTCATTGATTTCTTTTTTCAACGCTTTTCACCTTTTTGATTTTGATACAGCTGGTAATGGAAATAAAGTCGTTTTGAAATTGACAGCAAGTTAACATGAAGAAAGTTACCACTGACTTTTTGACATTACAAAGGAAGAATAATGAAACTTACAATTTGCCCACTATCTTACTAAATTTTTACTTCAATATGTGTTTAAAATATTGGTAGCCTGCTTCCATTCAGTGATGAAGGTTTTGTTCAAGGCACTCTAGGACGTTTTGAAGCATTTTGGATGTAATGTTGCAGCAGTTATCAATAACCCATTGACGTAAGTCATCTAGGGATGTTGGTTGAGTTTTATAAACTGCCGTCTTGAAGTAACCCCATAAAAAATCTAACTAATTCAAATCTCATAACCTTGCGGGTCACTACGCGGCCGACTCACCAACCAGAAAAGGTTCCTTGCAAAAACTCACCCATATTCTAAATTTCGATTTATTTTCATTGTATTTTGAAGGTGATTTTCTTTTAAATATTCGGTATTCATAAACATACATCAGTCAATCCAACTCCTTTTACATAAATTTTATTTGTTATCATCAACACAAAATGTGTTATCGTGTGAATGTTTTCCTGTTTATGAATGAAATAACTTTTTTTTAAAATAAATGTAAAATTTTTTCCATAAAAACTTTCACATATCACCTTAAACATATCAATTTTCTCAATATGTGGATATACTGATTAACTCTTAAAAACGTTTTATATTTAGGTTTTTTTAAGCATTCGAAATAAATAGTATTATTAAATTATAAAAGGAAACTGAACATTGGACGAGTAATTCATAGCTCTCTATGAATTCCTTGCATTGCAGAACACTTAGTATTTGGGGGTTATTCATTTAAGTTTTTTTCGATACTTCTACAATCATTTAATTATTCTTAATCAATCAATCTGTCAGTAAGAAAACAAATGTTATTGTTAACACTGTTATCGATATTATAATCCATTCATTTATTTGTTCCCAGAGGAGGCTTATATTGCGGACTTGGATTCCAAATCAGGTGCTAGCTTAAAATTAACGATTTTGAATAAATCTGGTAGAATTTGGACCATGGTTGCTGGCGGTGGAGCGTCTGTAATTTACAGTGACACAATATGTGATTTGGGAGGAGCAAAGGAATTAGCCAATTATGGAGAATATTCAGGTAAGCAAACCAATGTATTTTCTCAAATACTGATTTTGCTCTTTCCATTGATTATTTTGCTAATATAGAATTATAATTTTTGTGAAAGGTATTTAATGAGAATTATCTAGATTTTTGTCATTCAAGGTTAAAATTCTTGAAATTTGAATTTTTTCAACGTCCATCAAAATCTCCATATAACCTTTCGAATTATTGATATGACGAATGATTCCAGAGAAATTAATTTGATATCCTATACTATAATTCTATTTCTCGGAGCTGCATATGCTCAAAATAGCACAAGATTTGTGAAGATGTTGAGATTTGTACTCTTAGTAACGGTGAAAACAGTCCATTCTTATGAACTATTCTACAATGCCAAATTTAACTGCATATATTCCTTTTCATCTTGCCATTTTGCTTTCAATTTTTAGCACTGCAGGACTCAAGAGTTTGTCATACCTTTCGACATGTGGGAACTCAAATCCTACTTTCTTTGCCTAACCAATTTATATATATGCTTCCGAACTGCAATTTTTAATGAAATCAGAATTTTAGTCTTCTGTTGACCTTTATGTGATGGCTCTCCTTGAATTTACTTCTTTTTTTAAATGATCGGCTATGATTATTTTTTTATTGTTGAGATAAGTTTCACCCTTACTTAGAACAATTTTGCAATTCTATTTTGAAACCAGTCTGACCTCTGAATTCTACAAGTATCTTCTGTTTCAGACTTACGGGAATGGTTCTAAACTTAACTATATAATTATTCTAGACTTCAGGTTGTAAAAAAGTAAAAGCCGCCATTGCATTGAGCATCGTAGGCTCTCAAAAGTGTATATGAATTTGAATTGAAGGGGTTATATTTTTAGGAGTGATTAATTTTTGGGAAAGAAAGTTTTTGGCTTCCTACTACTCCATATTGATTCAAAAAAAGGATGAAGGAATATTCCAAAGAAAGGAAGGAGGTAATCAATTTGAAAATAAGTAACTCTATACATGGATGTGTAGATCATGCAAAGAAATAACTTTCAGACACAAACTGAAAGAAAGTCCTCCTCAAACAGCTACTTTTATATAAACATTGAATTACACGAAAGAAAAAATTCTTTCGAAACAAATTATATGAACACTGAATTATACAGAAGATACTTTTCTCTACTCAGTTTGTATTTCAAACATTCATTTGGAATAAAAATCAGATATCATTCACAGGATTTCTACTTTAAATGAATGGTAACAAATTGCACTTACATGGAACACTGTCACCCTCACTGGTATACATCGATGTTTCACACAATTCATTCATGAATTACGATTTTTAATGTCCTTTTTTTGTGTCAAGATGGAGTAGTAGAAAGCCAAAAATGTTTATGAATTGTTCTGTGATGCCAGGCATAAAGATCTTTACTACAAAAATGAATATTTCGAAATAACATTTCAAAATATTCATCTCTACCAACTACCTACATTGTAGGTTCTGACGAATACCTGCCGGAAAACAACCACTTCTCCGGCTAATACCACACTGGATATTGAATTATATCCGACAGACATTCATACAAGATACCTCACAGGGGTTAGTTTCGCAGATGTTTCTCGTTCATCCATTTGTAGTGCAATATTGCATGACAATTATTTTCCAGCACTTATTTTTGTAAATACAGAACACTAAAATATATATGGTATTTATTTCCACATACATAAATGATAAGGCAGAATATACTTGGGCATTAAAAATAGTTTTGAATTGAGTTGTACCTCAATTGTAGCATTGGAAAGTGGGATTTAAAAAGTTTCTTATAAAAATTCAGTATATTCATTACCATGACAGTGATTTATCATTCACTATATATACTTGAAAATTTATTTTTATTTATCTGAAGAATTTTACTGTCGCTCTGACAACATTTTTCTGTGTATTCTACATAAGTTGTTTTTTATAAGGGCAATATCTTGGCCTTAACAAATAGTCTAATAGTTGACTCAGCTATTTCAACAATGCTTTTATCGGGAAACTGAATAAGACAAAAAAAGCACATGTTGATATTTAGTGAGAGGTCATTAATTGAAAATGTTAAATAGAATCAGTGGTCCCATTATATGAATATCTGCTCCCAGCTCTTTTACTTGAGATTTTTCGTACCTTAGAGTTTTGAATTCCTTGTTGTTTGCTTTCATTATTGCTTTTTTCAGCACATGTTTTTCTGAGGTTTGCACATCATTATTCACTGTCCTTTCATAATGGTGATTGTCATTTTAACTTTGGACATTGAATCTGTAGTCTTTTGGTATCATTGTTTATTTCATAGCTGGATTCTTGCTCTCTGAGGATCTTGATCAGAGTTTTTATATGATCTGATAAGGCTAAATATGGCTGGTGTTCAAGCCTTACAACAACACAAAGTGGATTTGTTTGCTTTTTGAATCGCCACCCATGATATGGAAGATTCTCACAAAGTTTCCTCCCAGTCAGACTTGAGCAACTTCCAAGGTGAAACCTTGGTACTATGAAATGGACAACACCCCCTTCCTCCCCTTGGATAATTTCTTATTCTTTCTACTGAAATAGTAGTACATTACGATATTAATACATTAGAATAGTAGTAAATTACGATTTTTCAAAATTTATTTTTTCAACAATAGAGATTTATATATTAAAAACACTTCCCACACCAGAACTATATCACTGTCCCTCGACGCGCATTTCGCATCTCTTAATGATGCTAACTTGGTTATCATAATGTTTTTATTAGATTCATTTTAGCCAGAGGTTCTACTTTTACTTATAAATTGTAATCGAGGAAGACTAATTCAAACCCAAAGTTTGAAAATTTAATATTTTTTAAGGTGCACCAACTGAACAACAAACTTATGAATACGCAAAAACAATACTGTCTCTGATGACCCAAGAAAAGCATCCACAAGGAAAAGTGTTGATCACTGGTGGAGGAATCGCCAATTTTACCAACGTATCGGCTACTTTCAGAGGTATTATCACTGCCTTGGTTCAGTTTAGGGAAAGGCTCATAGAACACAAAGTTTCTATCTTCGTCAGAAGGGCTGGTCCCAATTATCAAGAAGGCTTAAGAAGAATGCGTGAAGTTGGACAAACTTTGGGTGAGATTTATAAGAAAAATTAAATGTTTCCTGGATACAAATATGTCTTCTTCAGGTATTTCTCTGTATGTTTTTGGCCCGGAAACTCACATGACTGCTATTTGTGGTATGGCCCTAGGCACTCGACCCATTCCCCAAGAAAATAATGTTGAAACTGCAACGGCAAATTTCGCACTACCTAGCGGAGAAAAAGAACCAAATAAGCAACGTCTGAGTTCCAATAAAGATGTTCCGAAACCTTCTGTCGCCTTTAGTGTGAATGCAAAAGTGAGTATGAGTACTTGATTTTGTATTGTATTGTGCATGTTTTGACCTTCAAAATAACCTTGGCTTAGTTTTTTCAAGTCCTCTCCTCACAAGTTGAAAAACTTTCTCTGCAGGAATTGACATAAAAATATAAATAGGGCATCGAATGTATAAAGTTATAATTTTCAACTGCCATAACTTGAGAATGTGAGGACTTGTAAGATTGAAAATGATGATTATTGGATTTGTTTTAGCTTAGGCTTGTTCATTAATGATTTCATCTGAAAATACCTCTTTTGAAAAATTACTGATTGTGATTCCAGATGTAATAAAATTCATTCTATATGTTTGTAGTATTCTAGATGACGTAATTGTAAAGTGTCAGTAATTTTTTATTTGGGGGTACTCATTTTGGATTTCAAGGTGGTTTGGTTCTCATTTTCTCTCATAAATAACAATTTTATCTTAAAATGTTGTATACATATATGTATATACGATTCATTGAATTTTCAATACAGCTTTTTAATATGCTCATGCTTAACAAGTGTATATATTTCTCAATATCCAATACATTTGAGTTTCAAAAGTTCAACTTTCACGAATGATCAATTGTCTAGTATTTCAATTAATATAAGGATATTAAATTATTCATTTAGATGTATTTAATTCGAATCAAAACTATTCTTTGTTTGTTTCTCAAATTCAGTTGTTAAATATCCTGTAATACAAATAACTAACTTACTGACAAAAAAAGGATATAGATTGTTTCATTTTCTGTCCTAAAATAGAATTAATCTTGATGAAGTTGATTTAAAAATGTATAGTTTTACCTATTACAATATGATTACAATGATAGTACAATATGGAATACATTCCATATTGTACTATCATAAACATAAAATATGAACAAGAAGATTACTTACCCAGTCAGCAACAACATAACCTTCTAACTTTGAATCATCCTTTACAAATTTTGAACCATAAATTTTAGTAAACTGCAAGTATCTTCCAATGACTTTCATTAAATAGTTACATACAGTGTGCTTGTAATACACACATACAAACATTGCTTTAATGTGTCCTAAATCTTATTTTAAATTTTGAACCAATCTCAGGTTTGGGAGTGTTTGTTTCTGTCCTATATTTGAAAAAATGAAAAAAATCATAAACGTACAAAGTGATAATTGTTATTAATCCATCAATTTTCCTTGTATACAAAGTTCAATTTTTCTGAATATTTTATCTTCCAGTTTACCATAAAAAAAAAACTGTCACTATGTAAGTGATCAATATTAAAATGGAGTTGACTGCCTAAAACTTATTATTGAATGTCTAACTACTGGAGAAAAAGTTTCATCAAAGTCTATCCTTATCTTGAATGGAATATTGAGCTGCTAATCTAGCTCTATGTGTAATACTTCTACAATTATTCAACTTGGTTTTGAAAATCCATTCTCCATACACTGGTGTATGAATGTGTATGATCCTTCAAAAGGTATACGAACATTCCACATAGCATTTTCAGTAAAACTGAGCAATTCTTGCCATTGCTTCATTTCAGTGATGTCGATTAGGTACTAAAAGAGCTTCTTTCAATAATTTGATGGATGTAGCCGTTGTTACTATGTGGTAGTAATGTCAGTTACAAATAAAAGTTGTAAAAAAACATGGGAAGTTTCAATTCTCTTTTTTTCATTAGTGAAAGAGCCTCTTTCACAGAAGATGGATCTTTCACTGCAACTTGTAACGAAGTCATCGATTTTTTTAACTTTTATTTCCCGCTGAGACCTTTGAATATTTTCTGTACTGCTAATATCAAAGTAACGTTACTGTTGTTCTCACTCCCGCCTGGAACATGAATTTCATTACTCTGATGATCACTTTGATCAGACAATTATTTTCTCTGGAATGGAAACTCAAATCAGGTTATCTCTCTACTAGAATTGGAAACTCAAGTTGAATCTCTGCATTATTTGGACTTGCCTCATTTTTCAGGTAGCTTTTTATGATATGATTCAAATTCTCCAAAATAACAACATCCATGTTAGTACACAATTGCCTTGATTTAGTGTCGTAGAGTCTATAGCCCATAGTTGTTTTAGAGAAACTGACTAGAATAAAATTTTCACATTTCTTTTTTATCCTTGCCATTGCCACATTGCCAAAGATCCTTATGCGGAACAGTTTTTCCAGCCCTGACTTGTATGTCAACCACCTAGTGTTTTCATCAAAGGTTCTGTTTAGTCTTTAGTAGTTGGATGAATAATGCCTTGCTGTTTCAGAAAATATTCAGAATTCTGTTTCTCTCCACCATGATATATTAAATTGAAAGGGGTGTATTTTTAGGAGAGATTAGTTTTTGGGAAAAATCTCTTTGGCTCATTTTTATACACAAATAAACACAAGTCTTTGAACTTTCCAGAATATTCATCCTTGGGTTTGATGTAATACACGAAAGACATGCGACTAAATTCCTCTTGGATACTCATAACATATTTTGAACACATATTGATATTATTTCCATAGACCCTGCAGGGTCGCCATGAACGATGTTGAGAGGTTTTGTAGCTCTAGTACCAGAGTGTTCTTTTGAACTGTTGTCGAGTCTGTTTGCCTTGCAACAGGCTTTACAATTTTGCTTCTCAAGCCAATTTTTTTTATTATGATAAATAGATCTCTCCAGCAACTGCTTGACCAAGAAATATATCATCTTCCAAAGTGATTGTTTGCCTTGCAGTAGACTTTACAATTTTGCTTCTCAAGCCTTTTTTTTATTGAGATGAATAGTGTGCTACACCTCTCCAGCAACTGCTTGACCAAGAAATATATCATTTTCCAAAGTGTCTGTAAACACTGTTACAGTACCCGCCAGCTAAGATGAGTCAGCGCAGAAATGTAAAATCGTTCTGTGTTGAAAGACCCGCCCACTTCAGTTATATTTCGCCAGTGTACTATTAACATGAGTTTGTGTGACCAATAGCTATATTATGGGACGGGTCAATTTGATTTTAAATGCGCATCAAAATCGCATCTTAGTTGGCGCGTACTATACTCATGATTTAGTTACTTACACTGTACTGATGTGGTGAATCTCGCCATAATAGGTTAGCAAAAATAGCACTTCAAATCTCAATCTCAAACTTTTGATTTTTTAATTTGCAGAGCATTTCCTATCGAACAAATGTATGTTACAGTATTAATATTATTTTTACACTCGACAACTGAACAAAACTTTAATTAATTCGTATTCTAAAATAACTATTCGGAAAAGTAATTTGAATTCAGAAAATATTAATTGTAACATAATTTTGAAGTGTACTATTGAAAAAATGGTAGCCGAATTCTCACGAGTGTCTAAAAGACTGATTAGAATACTGATAGTGTATGTATAATCAGATGTCATGAAGAGAATGATTTTGACTGTTGCTTCATACTCATGTTTACAAAAAAACATTTGTATTGAAAACACTTTTCTGTAGAAATTTCTCTTAAAAGGTGCACTACAAAACGGGAACAAGAATTTCACTATAAAAAAAGTATTTTCTGATAAGTTTGTCCATCATAAAAGTTATTGATTCATCGCATTTTCATTTACAAAAATAGTTTGAATCAAGAAAGGTTTTGACTTTTGTATAATTCAATGTTCATATAAAATCAGTTGTTTTGTTGTTTTGAAAGTATTTTTTATTTTGTTTATATAGAAGTGATTGTTCTAACAGGGCTTTTTCTTTCAGTGTGTGACTGAAAGTTACTTCTTCGCATGATCTACACATATTTGTAAATAGTTCATTTTGAAATCAATTGCTTTCTTCCTTTCTTTGGAAACTTCCCACATTTTTTTGTATACCGATGGAGAAGTAAAAAGTCAGAACCTCTCTTTCCCAAGAATTAATCTCTTCTAAAAATATATCCCTTTCAATTTTGTTCGAATCAATTTCATAACATTAGCTGATTTGGATTTTAATGTGATAGGGCAGAAAATGGAATGAAATATCCTGTGGTTTTGCTGTATAAAGCTGGTAATGAAGTTAATTCATTGAAAAAATATAGATTTTTATTTGTTGAAGGAAAATGTTCCAAACCTAGTACAAATACTCACATCACCCACAAAGTCACAGGTAATCATTCATAGAATCATCTTTTGGTAAAAAATAATGATAACAGAAATTGTTTTCGAAAGGGAGCCATGTTCACTAAGTCTACGAAAGCCATCATTTGGGGTATGCAAAATCGAGCAATACAAAGTATGTTGGACTTTGACTTTGTCTGCACCAGAAATGAACCAAGTGTTGTCGCCATCATCTACCCTTTTACTGGAGATCACAAGCAAAAATTCTATTGGGGCCATAAGGAAATCCTCATTCCCGTTTATAAGCATATGAAGGATGCTATGAACAAACATCCAGACGCCGACGTTTTGGTGAACTTTGCTTCACTCCGCTCTGCTTACTCAAGTACGGTTGAAACCATGCAGTTCCCTCAGATCAGAACCATTGCCATCATCGCAGAAGGTATTCCAGAAAATTACACGAGAAAACTTATCAAATTAGCGAACGAGAAGAAAGTATCTATAATCGGACCAGCAACTGTTGGTGGAGTTAAACCAGGCTGTTTCAAAATCGGTAACACTGGCGGAATGATGGATAACATTTTGCATTCTAAATTATATAGACCTGGAAGTGTGGCATATGTATCCAGGTCTGGAGGTATGTCCAACGAGTTGAACAACATTATGTCCAAGGCAACTGATGGTGTATATGAAGGAGTTGCAATTGGTGGAGATAGGTATCCTGGAACCACTTTTATGGATCACATCATGAGGTTCGTCGTTAATTATATCCTTTGCAAAACTGTATAATTTTATTTCATTTGTTATTGATAATCTGTATTACATCAATTTCATAGGTATCAGGCTGATGATAACGTTAAAATGATTGTACTCCTTGGAGAGGTGGGAGGTACTGAAGAATACGAAGTTTGCAGAGCGCTGCAAAACAAACAAATCACCAAACCTTTAGTAGCATGGTGTATAGGTATGACTGAAGTAATGACTTTTTCTCTGGAGTCTTCTCACTGATAGATTGTTTACAGGTACTTGTGCTGGTATGTTCACGGCAGAAGTTCAGTTTGGACATGCCGGATCTTGTGCTAATACCAACCAAGAAACTGCAACTGCTAAAAATGAAGCCCTACGAGCTGCTGGAGCACACGTACCTGATTCATTTGACTATTTAGGTATACAAATGCTATTTATATGTACTTTCGACTCACAGAAGTAAATTGTCTTTACCTTCTTGCAGGTGATATTATCCAGAATGTATATGATCAGTTGGTCAAACAAGGAGTTATAGTACCAGCTCCAGAAGTACCGCCTCCAACAGTTCCTATGGATTACAACTGGGCTAGGGAACTAGGCCTCATTCGTAAACCTGCAAGCTTCATGACTTCCATTTGTGACGAGCGAGGACAAGAATTGATTTATGCCGGTAAGTTTACTTTTTTCAATAAATCACCTAGAGGAATGCTAACAACTTATTTTCCTACATACTTTTCTAATGGTGACTTTTCTATTGTCTCTGAAGTTTCATAATGACAGACTTTTTCTAATGAAATGTTATAATAGCAACTTTTTCATTGACACTGAAGTTTCATAATTATTGACTTTCAAGTACTAGCTCGTAGAATAATCTTCAACTTATAGTTAAGTCATCTATAAGTTTGAAATATTTTGTTTTTTACAAGCATTTGTCCAATTTGCAATGTTTGTATGTATATCACTAGAATGAACTTTGCATATAAAAAAAGATGCCTTGATTTATAAAGAGCTATTTTCTTTTCTGAAGATAAAATCTCATAGATTTGAATAATTAAATTGATTTGAAACATTCCATTCTGATAAAGAATCTCAATATTTCTTCTCAGTTTTATCTTCAGTCTTTTCTGTTTTAAGATAATCTAGAGATATCATGAGACTCATTATATATTTTGTTCATTCTTCTTCGCTTATGTAGCTAAAAGACTTCTGAAATAACAGCTTCCACAAATCTTGAAGGTGAAGCTGCTTCATGAAAAATAATTCTCAAATGTAATGTTAGGTATTTGGTAATTTCAGTCGTGCATAAATTTGACAGTTCTGACGTGTTGAATATTTGATACAAAAAAAGTTTTTACATTTTTCATTGCATTTTTTTTTTTGTAATAGACTTCATTGATAATTTTTGATTTAGTAAGTAGCATCTGTAAGAACTTTCAATTTACTCGTGATATTTTCACAAAGTTTAATATACTACTATAGTCTGACAACTAATTGTAATATTTGTCGTGAATCAATTAATGATTAATTGAAAGCCTCATTCGCTCTGTCGTCCAAATCACTTACTTAATATGAAACATATCTTGAGTAGTTTTCTTTACAACTGGCTCACTGTACTTTCCTTACCTAATATATACCTGGAACTATCCCAATGTTAACCGGTTGTTGTCTTTTTGATCATGTGATTGAATCACCTTCTTCAATTGTTTGTGAAACTATAACATTCAGCAGCTTCATTATTAATACCGGTGTTTGAGAATTGACATAAAACTCCAACAGGAAAATTCACCAAAAATTACTTTTTGGAACTGTTTTCCCTTGATTTATATGTATACATTCTTCAACTACTCAATCACGTAAGTCATGTGCTATTTAACAGTTTAGAAAAATCTAGTTATGAACCAAAATTACATCAGATACCAATAAGAATATTTCTTTTATGTAAAATGTATTCTCTTTCAGGTATGCCAATATCTGATGTTCTTCAAAAGAATGTTGGCATTGGTGGTGTGATCTCTCTTCTGTGGTTCCAAAGGTGTTTGCCGCCTTATGCTTGCAAATTCTTTGAAATGTGTCTTATGGTTACAGCCGATCATGGTCCAGCAGTATCTGGAGCACATAATACAATCGTATGTGCAAGAGCTGGTAAGGATTTGGTTTCAAGCGTAGTGTCTGGTCTATTGACTATTGGAGATAGATTCGGGGGTGCGCTTGATGGAGCTGCCAGGCAGTTCAGTGAGGCTTATGAAAAAGGTAAGTTCATTGATTTGCTTCAAAGAGAGTTTATACTATAGCTTGATTTATTGAAATATTATGTCTACAAAATTGGTCATGTATCGAAAGAAAGGTAACATTCAACACCTGGGCTGAAAAGTCCCGGGCCTAAGAAAGAAAAGGCGTTTTTTTTGTTCAGAAATACCTTTATTCATCAACATAATCTCCATAAATCATTTCAGCGCCACTCTAACATTTCAGTACCACTTTGTAGAACATATCTTTTGCCTCAAAATAGGCCTCAGTTTCAGCAATAACTTCTTCATTCGAGCAAAATTTCTTACCGGTGAGCATTTTTCTGATGTCTGTGAACAGCCAGTAGTCGCTAGGAGCGAAATCTGGCAAATAGTATATGCGGGAGAAATTTGAAGCCCATTTCATGCAATTTTGCCATCATTTTCATTGATTTGTGACACTGTACATTGTTTTGATGAAACAGCACTTTTTTTCTTTCAAATGGGGTCGTTTTTCCGCAGTTTCGGTCTCCAAACACTCCAATAATGCTATATAATATTTACTGTGGATGATATTTCCTTTCTCAAGATAGACGATGAATATTACACCACGCACATCCCAAAATACCGAAGCCATAACCTTTCACAGTTGCTCTCCGCTCAGATGACAATCGTTCGAGGGTGAAATGATGTATCCATGCTTCATCCATTGTCACATATCGACGCAAAAGTTCCGGATTTTTATGTTTGAACATGGCCAAACACTGCTCAAAATCATCAAGACGTTCTTGTTTTATGTCTACAGTTAGCTCGCCCGGCTCCTACTTTGAACAGAAATTTCTCATAGTCGAATGCTCATGCAATATAAAGCCAACACGTTCTTTTGATATCCTTACATCGTCAGCTAACTCACGCAACTGCACTTATCATTCAAAACGATTTTGTGGATTTTTTAAAGTTTTCTGATGTTACTGCCACATTTGGACGTCCACTGCATTCTGCGTCATCGGTGTCTCTAATAGCCATTGCTTTGCTTGAATGGAATTTTTTTCCTTCGAGAAGCAGTGTAAAATTAAAAAAACAAAATTGTTTTTGATCCATTTATTTGTGCAACTTTTAGCATAATAACTCAGGAAGTTAATGAGTAGAATATAATGAAATCACAACAACTTTCTTTTGAAGGTTAGTACTAACTGAAAAAGCGGTGAATGCAATAAGACCAGCGCCATCTATGTATTAGGCCTGAGACTTTTTAGCTCATCTAGTGCATCACTTCAGATATAGGCTTTGTGGATGTCACAAATTTATTTACATGTAGGAGCTTTTTCGTTAATATTTTTCAAATAAATAAATTACTTTATCTAGGTCTTTGTTACATGTTTCAAATAGACTCTCAATATTTAGTAATTCAATAACAAAGTATCAATTGATTTTGATGAATTTGTTTTTATAAACCATTGAATGATTTTAGGTGAGGTTGAAATGCAATCTTTTCTCAAACCCCATCTACTTTTTGTCACCATGTTATATCGCTGGAATCTGTTTGCCATCCACAAGTATCAAACATATGTCATACTGACTTCCATTATGTATCTGAAGTGTAAGACATTGTTGATTGCTGGAGATTATGATTACAGTGGACATCTATTTAACTATTCTATTCCACTAGCTAACTACAGTTTTCAGTAATTTTTTTAGTTAACATAAAATGTATTGTTTCTTCTGAAAAAGCTTCGTTTTGAGTTGTGACATGAACTCACTGACGGAATGATGAAGCAAATTTCTTGAAATTGACAACGCAATATACAAAGTTTTTGAATAACTTTATATTGTACCTTGCACTCTATCATAATAACAGATTTTCACCTCCAGTTTAATTTTTTATTGTTTTCTAAGCAAGTTTTTTTTTTGAAATCAGGACGATTCATTGAGTTATCGTTCAGTTATTCTTGAAAAAATTATTCATTGAAACATTTTGATTGGTTTTATGAGATTAGTTATGACTGTAACTGTAACTGGTTTGGAAGTTGGAGTAGTTTGATGTAACTTGAACAACTTCGAAACCGTAATAATATGGTCAATGATTTGTTGCCTGTATTTCAGTGTTTGCATGTTTTTTAAAGATCTTAATTTTATTTTATGACTTGATTTTTCATTAAGTACAAAATTTCGAGAAAAACTTCTACCTCTCAAAAATACTCAGAATGTTGATAAAGAATAGAGAAAAATAAAAAATAGAACACGAATTGCGCGAGTATAAAACTTAAGCTTTCACAACCGGAGTCATAGTAAGAGATAACAAAATCTGGGCTGGTAGACTGCGGTAGAATGGAACTTGTAGTACCAAACGTTTTATTTATTACTGCGGCAGACATTATCAGTAGTAAATGCGTCGCCACAATCAACGCATATACCACTGATGATGTCTGTCATAGTAGCAGATGAAACGTTCAGTTTTACAAGTTTCATACTACCACGACCTACCAGCGTTGATTTTTTTTTCATCTCTGTAACCTCTAATTCAGTTTTATAAGACATTCCTCAATCAAACTTTTGAATTTAAATGTAGTGGTACTAAGAGATATAAAGAGATAACTTGACCCTGAATATCATAGGTTAAGAAAATGTCATGTCAAAGAACGCATTTTATTGTTATTTTTTTGGTGACCAACAGTGATCAATAGAATTTTCAGAATTACTTATGCCAAAAAATCGGCAAGAATAATATTGACAGATAGTTGTTGGTTCACAGATGGATCAAAAACACGTTCCGGTTCTGGTGCAGGTGTTTTTAGTCGCAGACCCAGGACAGAGATATCTACCTGCCTAGGAACTAATGCGACTGTATTTCAAGCAGAAATTTACGCTATTGAATTGTGTGCGGAAAAATTGGATAAGTCCAACCTACGCACAAGTTAATAAAAATATTCTCAGGACAGTCAAGCGGCGTTGGAAGCTCTTGGCTCCTACCGAGCAACGTCTAAATTGGTAGCAAACTGCCAAAAACGACTCTCCTTGATATGAAGACTTAACAGATTGTCTCTGGTCTGGATTCCTGGCCATACTGGTCTGGAAGATAATGAAGCTGTTGACTCTCTTGCAAAGGAGGGTGCTGCAAGCGGCTTCATTGGACCAGAACCTGTCAGTGGCATTGCTTTGGGCTTTGCCAAACAAACATTGAACACCTGGATGACAAGAAGATTTATGGACTTCTGACAGAATCTTCCAGGATTGGCTCACTCCAAGGCGTTTATCCACCCTTTGAAGCTTGATACCAAACAGTTGTTGGACTTCAGTAGGGATGAACTATGATGTCTAACAGGCCTTCTTACTGGTCACTGCCATTTGAATCATCATATGCAGAGACTTGGACTGTCGGAAGACAGTGTGTGTCGCCTCTGTTTGGAAAATGATAAAACTGCAGAGCATATACTTTGTGCCTGCCCCGCTGGTGACCGAATCAGGTTCTTACAGTTCGGCAGATCCGTACTCTTTCCATCTGACCTGAAAGACCATTCACCATACAAACTAATCGGCTTCGTTAAGAAGCTTGGTTTATTTGGCCGAGTGTGAATAGGTGTGAGCCACAATAAACCCTTGCGGGTTGCGGTGAAGGGTCGAATAGACCCACTCACTTCAAACCCTAATTAATAATCTTTACAAGAATTTTGACAAATAAACTTTGGTTTGAGAACATAGAATTTCGCGGGCGGAGTCGCGATTAAAGAGAGCAAAGACCGTGATGGGAGGCTGTGGTCGAATGGGAACTGAAGTACCAAACGTTTCGTTGCAGACATAATCAGTGGTATGTACGTTAACTGCTGGGACGAACGTTATATCTTAAAGTCAGTCAGTAGCCGGTCGGTTTGACGTGGATGCTTTGTTCACTTATTCAAATCGACTGCTGTGTTGGTCCGTGGTTCAAGCCCCAGGCTGAACGACCGAGTTTCATTTGCTGTCGTCCAACCCGTGTTAGGAATCGCACGTTAAAAGGTAAGACTTCGTTAGTCCTTAGCTCGCACAAGTTTCGACTTCTGAGGGTTGTTGTTCGTAGGGGTGCGACAGCCGGTTAACGAAAAAACAGATTTTAAAACAGATCTTTTTTTCGTGGTGAACACATGTCTTCATGAATATATTGGAATTTCATAAAACTTTTAAAAAAATATTCAACCGATAGTTGTTTACTAAGGTTTTTTGAAACATTTCAGGTATGCAACCCGCAGAGTTCGTAAACCACATGAGAAACAAAGGAGAACTTATTATGGGTATAGGCCACAGAGTCAAGTCCATCAATAATCCAGATCAGCGTGTGAAAATAGTTAAAGAATTTGTCATGTCTAACTTCCCCGCTACTCCACATTTGCTGTATGCCTTAGAAGTTGAAAAAATTACAACGAGCAAGAAACCCAATCTCATTCTGAATGTAGATGGAGTTATTGCCGCCGCTTTTGTAGATATGCTGAAAAATTGTGGTAGTTTTACAAGTGAAGAAGCTCAAGAGTATATCAACATTGGAGCAATCAATTCGCTCTTTGTTTTGGGCAGGTCAATAGGTTTTATTGGGCATTTCATGGACCAGAAGAGGCTGAAACAGGGGTTGTACAGGCATCCATGGGATGATATTTCTTATGTACTACCAGAACAATATAACAACGATAACTAGATGGATTGTAATGGATTTGACTATTTCACTAATTCAGTTTGATCAAGGCTTCAAAAATAGATATGTTAAAAGTAGACTCATTGATATACCAAGCCTCACAATTTCGGTGCTCAAGCAATTGAGTCACCTTCAATAGCAGCACTTATTTTTTAAAAGAGACTTTATAGTTAAGAATAGAATTTATGAAATTTTTCAATGATGATATCGAAATTGGGATATATGTGAGTAAGATGCATTTCGGTATGATTTTCCATACCCATTTCCATGATGAAAACTAAGGAACTTATTTGAATGAGAATTATATTCTCTGATTTATTATTTTGAAAATTGATATTTATATTTATGTACCTATTTTTTAGTGTTTAGTTTAAAGTGATGTCAGCCATAATTTCCAAGAGATCGGCTATTTTATCTGTTTGTGCTTCTACCAAGTACATAAGTTCTAAATTTATGTGTGTTGTATTATCTGAATAAAGTGTTTTGAAATTATTTTAATTGAATATATTGACTCATGGTTGAACCTGAATTTTAAGCAAAATGTTTAATTGAATTTTTGTAATAATAATTGTAAAATAAGGTCATAATAATAATATACTTTATTATTAAAAGAAAAATGTTGGCAAAGTTCGCATACATTAAAACAAAATGAGGTGCATTGCCATATGCCAACAAAATAATGAACATTTAATGACATGGTTACTGCTCCAAACCTTCTACCCAAGAATTGTGTCTATTTATGTAATTCGCTAAAATTCTTTAGCGCTTTATTATTTTGAACATATATCATATATTCCATAATCCAACTCTGATATCTGGTAATTTAAATATTCCAGTATGCAGAAAATAAAACAGAGACGCCTCAAAAATTGGTTAATCAAACATGGTTTCTCCCTTGCTCCAGAAAAATCAGCTGTGATGTTCTTTACTCAGCATAGACTGAGAGCCGAAGACATCAATCTGTGATCTCTATCTATCCCACTTGTACCTAATTATAAATATTTAGGGTTAATTTTAGATAATAAGCTTACATGGAAGAAGCATATCAACTATGTTCAAACCAAATGTGAAAAAGGCATAAACATATTCAAATGTGTCTGTAGAAACCAATGGGGGACAGATCCCAGAACTTCACTATAGTTCTACAGGTCTTACATTCGATCCATACTTGATTACGGATGTATATTGTACGGATCAGCCGCAGATTTGAGTCTGTTAGTAATAGACCGAGTGCAAGCAATGGCTTTAAAAATTAGTCTTGGCGCCTTTAAATAATCTACAACTCCAGCTATACTTGCGGAAGCTCAGGAACTTCTCCTCTACTCAGACATTTTCTGTCCTGCAAGAAATTAGTCAACATCAAATTATGTAGTAATAACCTAATGTGGGGCTATTTACAGTATATCAATTGAAAATCTCAATCAATACTGGAACTTCTTTGCTGAAGCCTTCGCTACAATATCAGAGAGCAACAACTCTTAGAACACATTGTTTCAGCTGGAATTTCCTATGTTAATGTTCAAACCAACGGTCATATTCCCCAACTTGTCAGTGAATTCTCATCTCAATCAAGCTCTAACAAAATCGGTACTGGGAAAAATTGAATCTTCCAACACAGTATACTTTGATGGGTCTAAAAGTGATCTATGCACTGGAAGTGCGTTCATATACAAAACAAAAATATTTTTCAATTCCACCTTCCCAATAAGACTTCGATTAACACAGCAGAGGCTTATGCTATATTTCAAGATCTTTTGTGGGTTAAACATAATGGCGAAGCTAGTCCAGTCATTTTATCGGATTCCAAATTTGTCCTTCTTTCCCTTAATAAATACAAATGACATAAAAAAGTCACTTATTTATGAAATTATAAAAACCTTGGAGTACTTCTTCAGTAATGAAATTGACATTGTTTTCATTTGGATCAAAGGTCACTCGGGTATTGCCGGAAATGAGAAAGTAGAAAGAAGTCACCTCTCTAGGATTGAGTCGAAAAATCGTCATTCAAGTATCCACCTCATTCTCCTCAAAAGTATCCCCCATCTAGGCTGTTATGGCATGTGTTTGTCATAACAGCCTACATGGGGACTAGAGATGGGTGAAACATCAGCCGGCAACAATTATCGTTACTAAACGATTTCCTAAAAAATATCTCGGCTTGGTGCCAGTGCATGAATATAATTATAATCAAAATTTTGATGATAACAATACCTATACCATACCATTAATCAATAAAATACTTAGAAAAACCTCTTGTATTGCACTAAAATAATATATGAACTGTTGAGTTTTCTCAACGACAGCTCTTGCTACACTCCCTACTTCATGTATCCCACTCCATGTATCACTTATTATCTGTGTCGATTTGAGACTGTATATGGCACTAGGAGAAATTATTTTATTTTTTTGAGTATTTAAGACAAAATTATTCCATATATGGGTTTTTAATAAATATTTGGATTGCATTTAAAAAATTATTCAATGACTCCATATAAAAAAAGTAAACTGATAAAATCTTCTGATAATCTGACTATTATTGGAAATGAGTGTTGGCACATTTATTGTTTGGTTAATGACATCCAGAAAATGTGCTACAAATAAGAACAAAACAATTTATTTGAATTATTCATTTATTTATTCATTAGGCCCTGGATGAAAGTAAATAATTTGTATCTGCTACAAATACACCTCTTGAATAATACATTTAAAAATATAAGCAGAAAATATTACTTATTCTGTTCACTTGTGGAGTGTATGAAATGTCAAACGCTGACAAACCCATCGTGACGGATGGATCCGCAGTAGTCCTAAAGAAATAAAACTATGAGACACAAACCTCATCCATTTTGAAACTCATGTTTTCCCTCGTCACTTGGTATTTAATTTGAGCACATTTTAGCTCGATTAGGTTTAGCTCACAATGGTATCAAGGGAGGCATGTTCCTCTCACGAGCCATTTCGTGGACCAAATATTTCCTCAACAGACGTATATTTCCTTGCAATTTTGAGTAATTGGACTCTCAACACATTGTCTTTGAATGGTGAATATTTTTGAGACAGCCAGGTAATGATATCAGCTTTTTGCCAGGCAGTTGTTGATGACTGCTTCAATTGTCTGCTGTGGCAGACGGTATAATCTTTAAAAACTAACTTTCAAATTGCGCGTCCATTTTCTTGTGGTAGTGGCTAGTTTTCTTAAACTCGAAGACTAACAAGCTGTTTTCGACATCTTTTTATTTCAAAATCTTGCCATACCTTTAAGACATTATGGCTTTGATTCAACCAAGTCTCATTTAAATAATAAATCTTTCTACCTTCAAGTAATTTTCCGTCACAAAACAATTTCTTCTTTTTCTTTAAGAGCACGTTTCCTACCTCTTTTCATAAATTCAATGTTCATTTGCTTTAATGTGCGCAATAAAACACGTGATATTTTGGGCATTGATTTATCAGAACTTATTTCGGCTGCGACTATTTTCAAGGTTGGGATTTGATTTCGGAAAAAAAACAAATGAAGTTCTCTATGAATAGCATATTTGGTGCAATCATAAGGCTGAATTTGTTTTCTTCCTCTAGTTTCAATGTCTTCAGATACATTAGTTATCACATTAACCTTCATTTTCATTAAAGGTTTTAAGAATTCTGTGAATATTTCTCGTCGAAACTTCAATCAAATCACTAAACATTTTCATTCCCTTCACGGAGCCCACAATACACATTGTATATAATAGTTTTTTCTCCTTTAGATAAATTCAGAGGTCTGCGTTTGCTTTGATTGCTTTCACTTTCCATATTGTTCACAGCACAAAATTAAACTAATTTTTCTTCGCTTGTCTTCCTCAATAATTACACACCCAGTAGTAGTCGTAAATCCACACCTATCGATACATGTAAAAAAGAATAATCGAAATGAATCACCATCTCCGCTGTTGCCTCGGTTTATCACTTCGTAATTTGTACCTATCGGAACAAGTTCGCTGCGGACCAAGTGCTATACGGAAATTTCCGCATAAGTGATTCAGCTAGTGGGTTGTGCGCGAAATGAAAACCAAACGATATGCAAATCCTAGTTCCTCTAATAGGAGACATAAGAAGAGAAAATATGATGAGCTATTGGAGAAAATTAGACGTTTAAAGGACAAATTTTTCTTAAGCAGTTCCGATGAATCGGATAATTCTTTATCGGGTGAGTACTAGAATAATTTGATTTCTTTCATGTCGTCACTTCGAAGAGTTGTTGCTCTACCAACAAAGAACAACGAGATAAACTAAGGTTAGGTGGAATTATTGAGGAAGACAAGCGAAGAAAAATAGTAAGATTGATTGACTTACCTGGTAAGGAAGATCAATCGAGATTTTTCGAGCTTGTCTTCCGAAAATAATTTCAACCCACCCCACCCACAAACCAATTGTGATCTGAAGTGTACAAATAACGAAGTGATAAATCGAGGCAACAGCGGAGATGGTGATTCATTTCGATTATTCTTTTTTACATGTACCGATAGGTGTGGATTAACGACTACTACTGGGTGTGTAATTATTTTCGGAAGACAAGCTCGAAAAATCTCGATTGATCTTCCTTACCAGGTAAGTCAATCAATCTTACTATTTATAATGATATTTCCCTTGTTTCAGTTTCGAAAAAAATCCCTTGGTTTTTACCTGATATAAAATTTCCTTTTTATTTACTGTTAATCCTTTTCCTAGAAATGTAGGTTGTGACGTCGATTACATTGTAACTTCTTAGGAATGGATTAAATCTATAGAAAGTGTATTATTTCCCTTTTTTGTTTATCTATATGGTAGGTAGGTATTATACAAAAATATTATTCATTATACTATTATATTCTGTAGAGTAGGGAGGATGAGTGTAGACCCATAGCACTTAGGTCACATGTGACTCATTGTACATCCTCCCGAGGAGTTGTCCTCCTAGGTCATCGTCCATCCTCTGTACTTTCCAGGAAGGTGGACAGGTCACTAGGAGACATCTCCTTTATATTGGCAGGTGTAGGTCAAGACTCGCCGAACACACACTCTCTTTGGCAACCTTGAGGTATCTCACGGTGGCCTCCGCGAAGTTTTTGGAAGGTGCAACGACATTACTGTCGTTGCGCGGCTCAAGTGAGGGAGCTTTCCTGCAGGAGCAGCCGGTTCCTTGCCTTTATTCCAAGGCGGAGCTCTTGGCGCCCTCCGCAGGAAGTACCTTTGCTGTTGTAGGTGGAGTGGGGGAGGAGGAAGGTGCACTTATAGTTGTTACCACTCCTGCCTCCTTCGCTCTCTTTCTCCTTTTGGACTGTCCTATATATTCTTCATTACATAATGTCCATTAATTTGATGAAATTTTTGAGTTTATTGCCTATCTGACGAATCATATCTCATCTTTAACAAGACTATTCATTTAATTTTGTTATCTGGCATTTTTTTAGGTGATACAAATATTATCATCGATTGGTTTTCAAATTATGAGTGCTTATCTCAATGAGAATCACGATATAATGTAATCAATTTTTGTTGAAAAAACAATACAGTGAACTCATTTCAACTGAACTCCTACAATCCGCCTCGTCAATTATCCCGATCACTTCTAGAAAAAAGAATGTTTCTATTCCTTCCAGGTTTATTTAACTTACTTTTTGTAATCAAGTTACTTAACATGTTATAATATATTTATTGATGAATTCTACGTATCTATATACGTATTTGTGTTTGTATGTGTTTATTATTTGACAACATGTGTTGATTTAAATTAGGAAATTGTAAACTGTAATTTTATACATATTTTTATTTTTTGTGTATCTACTTTATGTGACGTATGTATAAATACTTCTGAGTAATAACATGAATGAAGTGTATATTTTTCTATCTTAGAGGTAACTGTGTGAATGAGAAATGGCTATTATGTAACGTTCGCCATATTGCATGAAAATGTTGGCATTTGGAGAATCGGAAATTACGAGAACCAAACGTGTGCTAAATTGCACCTCAATAGAATACTGGCAAGTGGGACGATTTCAACTTGCAACATAACAATAACCTAACCTAACCATGGGTGGTAATAAAAATTGAGGCTCTAGATAATGTGTCCTTTTTCAAGGAACATAATTATTACAATTACCAAATAAATTGGAAACGAAGAAATGAAATCTTGAAAACATGTGAAAACTCTTCTTATAAAAAATAACGTTTCTTGGCTATGACAACTAGAATGCCAACCAAACATACTTACTTTCAAGTCAAGTCGACGACGAGAAAAATTATTGGCGCTTTGTCTTGAAAAGAGTGGTTGCAGTGTCTCGGTTTTTAACAGCTGATGGCTTATCTTCAAGAGGGCATGACGAGAAATTTCGATTATCATCAAACAGTGGAAATTACATAATGTGCTGGGAATCAATTTTTCGATCCATTTTAAGCAGAGTACATTTCTAAATATGGTAACTGGTTAGGGTCACGCTTCGACTATCTATGGAAAATTTTTTAAGCTTGTGGCCAAAGAAGTCGTTCATGATACTGTAAAAAAGTCAAAGTAGCGAAATATTTTTTGTCACTATAGATTCTACTCCAGATATTACTGGCAATAGTCCTTAGTTATGTGTTACTAAATGGAATTGTCCGTTGAAAAATTTATTGGCTTCTTCAATCTATTGTTCACAAATCAGAAGCTCTATTCGGTGATGCGGTACTGTGTTGGTAGACCATAAAATCAATATTGAGAATTGTAGAGGTCTGTCATTTGACAACACCTCATATATGTCTGGTGTGTAGGTATTCTGGCATATAATCCAGAATACGAGAGGTTAACCCTATTACTTTATACACACTGCTCTGCACAATACACCAATTTAATTAAAGATAACGCTGCTAGCTGCTGCAAAGAAAGTGTGGATTTCTTCTCGTTTCGCCAAAATCTGTATGTTTTTCCTAAAGTTCTACAAATGGGCGGAACATATTGAATGAACATTTGGAAAAAAAATAATCTTGAAAAATCGTTGGTCAGCATGTGATAATTTTTGTAAAAATTTTAATATGGATTGAACGGAAGTAGTTGTGCACTCACAACTATACCAATTGATGAAAAGGTAAAACTCAAAACAAGAATTGAACCCTCTGGATACCATCGCAAGTACAACGATTAGAAACAGCGATTCTTTTTACTTTTACTTGCTATTCAGATTCAATCTGACAAGTAAGAAGTCCAAACAACAGATATACATTTTTCTGTTGTTGCCAAACTCTACGGATCATTAGTAGAAAATTTGATCATTATTCCAGAAGAGTTTCGAGATCTACGCAAATGGAGCAGAAATTACTGGGAGTGATGATCTGATCGCAGGAACAAAGAAACGAATACCAGAGTTGAGGAAACTGAGCTGAATGGCCGAATCTAAACTAAGACAAACACCTACGTGGTCATCGTTTACAGACTAACTTTTGAGTTAATGAAACGTGAAGTATATAGTGTGATTAGCTGAAGATTTAACTTTTTAATTAAAGGGATGAACATGAGCAATAATGAGATGAAAAAATGCAACAAGATTAAGCGAAGAATGCCCATATGATTCGTCAGATTCGGATACGTTTAGTAAGGAATGTCTACACTTGTTGATTGGATTTGCAAGCACAATTGAAATAGTAAATTGCCAGCAGGCAACACCCTTGATTTTTGAGCTACTATGTGACAATGGTTTGCAAGACCTGTACCCTTATGTGAACATCGCACTAGGATTTTCTCAACAATGCTTTACATTTTTATATGAGGTTCAGTTTACCGGTCTGTCTGAAAAGAAGGTATAAAGTAACATACAAAGAAAAAAGTAATAATAAATATTGCACGGATCAAACTTGCTTATATTTCTAGTTATAATATCAAATAAAATATAGAAATTTCAACTACTGCAAAAAGGAGTTAAAATTAAAAGATATAATTTGATAAAAGAAGGCAGGAGAGTCATGATCCAGATTTACTCTCAGGGGTCCAGGAGATACTCGACGGGGCATCCACGTTGGCGGGATCAACAAGTGGGGGTTCACAATTCGTAAACGGGGGTTCATGTAAAAACTTGCGAATTCCATATTCAGTACAACGAGTCGAGACTTGCAAAGCGCCGTTGTCGTCCGCAACACTTGTTCAGACGTGCAAAGGGAACGAAATATAACGTGTATACTTGCAATCTTGCATAAACTTGTTCGATTATTCACTGATATAAATAATAAATATTAATGCCAAGGATAAACGTTACTCATTTGTTTCCTAAATTCCGAAAAGAAAAGTGAATCGACGTGTTTGCCGGGTACGTTATTAATGTACTTGTGATGCATTGTTCGAAACCTTTGGTGTAGTAATGAATATTACTGTCAATGTTTAATTTTTTAATGTTCTATTTTAATTACATTACGACTGAGTAATGATAAGTAATAATTTCACCACACCGAAAGGGGTCTTTTGAATAAAATAAGTGAGAATTGATTGGTTTCTTGTGCTGTGAGTAGATGTCAAAAAAGTAAAGTTGGGAGGAATCACTTTTTTGATTGACCAACATTCACCTTTTTTTGGCATCCACTCATAGCACAATCAATAAATTAATTAACCAATCAATTGTCACTTTCTATTCGAAAACTGTTACTTCGTCGCGTCGTGAGAATGCAGCCACAACGCAAATATCCATAGTTGCGTTTTGGGAATATGGTAGAAATGTAGTTGCAGAGGGCCCACAAGAACCAGCAAAATTTTGAAAGCGGTCTATGATTAGAAAAAATTTGGGAACCTCTGATCTAAACAGTACAGCGCGCGACTGGTGGGGAGTACGGCACTATGTGAATAGCCCAGTGGCGACAAATTTTCAAATCCGCTCACTTCGTCAACTTCTGTAATTAGTATCTCAATAACTTTTCCATGAGGTACTGACACAAAAAAAATGTTTTTGGGACAAATTTGCCGCCCCCTAAAATCCGCCGTCCTAGGCTCAAGCCTACTCAGCCTGCTAGTAAATCCGCCACTGGAAAGTAAATTACTTTTCAACCTTTTGAACACGTGAAATCTTTTGTTGGTGAACATTGGAATGATACCTAAGGCTAATTGCACACACATCGATTTTGGATGGCCGATATTATACCAGTTTTCCAAATTCCAAGAGTGAACCACATGTGGGAACGGGACCTGGCACACAAGCCTACCGGTGATCGTCGCCGGTAAAATACCAGTGAGCAGCCGTCCAGTGCCACTGTATCGCAGGCAGTACCGGGAAGTAGTGGCGTCGTGACTAAATACACTCTTGCATACTCACCGGTTTTTTACCGACTTAGTTTTGGTAGTGTGTGCTAATTACGGTGACCGGTAAAAATTCGGTTAGTCTGCAAGCACCCGCTACCAATAAAATATCGGCCGATTTTATACTGGCCGTCCAAAATCGGTGTGCGTGCAATTAGCCATACCTACCAGTGATCGCCGTCGATCACCAGTAGGCATGTGTGACAGGTCCCGTTCCCACATGTGGTTCACTAATGGAATTTGGACGACCGGTATAAAATCGGCCGTCCAAAATCGGTGTGTGTGCAATTAGCCTAAGGCTAATTGCATAAAACTTTTTATTTTCGCAAAATTTTTTAGAAATCATTTTCAAACTTTAATATACTAAATTGATACCCATAAATCTCGGAAGTATACTTTTCTCTTCTACCCGTTGCTGAAAGAAATGCCAAATATTCTATAGTGCTTTTCACTTGGAAGATATCTAAGGGTTCTTCAACTAACTAATAACACAAATATAGTTTGGAAAACTTCATTTCAATAACACTACTCAACTACCATTGATATTTCATTAGACCACCTTTCTATTCGTTTACTATCCTGTTTCAGAAACTGATTCTTAAATAGCAAAGCATGTTAGTATGTAAGCAGATCGTCTACCCTGAAATATCACGAAGCAAACGTTTCTTTCGCTGACTATCAGAACCGAACCTGCCTATTCGCATCATTGTCCCTCTTCATAAGTTACTGTTTCTCTGATAACTCATCTGCTTCATACTGACGTAACCAATTAGCACGTTCGTTATAAGCCAGTCTTTCTATGTGGACGACTGATGGGTTGCTCCTCAGATGCGACACATGTATCTATTTATTTCTTAATCACGAGCTAGGGATATTTAATCTTCCCAACGGCAGATGCATGAAAGTTTTAAAACATTGTGAAAGTAGGAATCTGATTTACAGCTGGATAAAATTGTGAATTCACTGAAGTTGGTCGGTGAATATAACCTACACTCGTTTCACTACAATATTTTCAAAAACAAGCACTTTTTCCAATTACCAGAAATACAAAACTTTTCTTGATGCGCATTTCACCAACCAAATTGGGGTCATTGGCAAATGTAGAAAACGTTTCTTCAACCGTGAATCACGATACAATAGATTTTTCAGGTGTGTGGATTTTCATCAACTATCGGCCAATTCCATTCATTTAATCTGCCATATGGCAATTCCAACAACCCGACAAGGTTTGTTAAGTTATTTTTTGTTTATAAAAACGACAAAAAATGTCAGTACGACAATGAACATCATTGTTTAGTTAGAATATTCTCATTTAGTAGTAGTAGGTTTTACTAGCGATATTTTAGTGACACTAACCCTCACGTTTTCCGGGAAACACATACCCAATATCCAGAAAAAAAAACGTTTGGGTAGGAATATTGGGAAACCATATTGTAGGACCACTATTTATTGATCAAACTTTAACAGGGGAACTGTATTTCAATATGCTGGAAACTACTGTTGACCCTCCCATCACTGAAATCGTCAAAGCGAATCCTAATAAATTCGATATGGATATTGTATTCCAACAAGATGGAACACCACCACATTACTCCAGACAAGTGATGAACTATTTGGATACTACTGTTCCTGGTCGTTGGATTGGCCGTCGAGGTTCTACAGAATGGCCAGCCCGCTCACCAGATTTGACACCTTTGAACTTTTTTTTATGGGGCTATTCGAAGCAAAAGGTGTACTAAACTGAACCTGCTCCAATATTGGATAACGGCAGAGAATAATAAATATTTGTAGAGATATTGACGTTACTGTGTTCGAAAATGTTCGGCGTGAAATATCGGATAAACTGTTCATATGTCAAAAAGTTCAAGGCAACCATTTCGAGCATCTTCTGAACTGACCTCAAGCTTATTACCTCATATTATGTAGTTGAATATTATATTCAGGCAATTATTAAAAGTTTCGCCATTTTGTAGTAGGTGAAGATATTGACTTCATATTCTAGAGTTGTGAAGTATTCGTCAGGAGATTCAAAATGATGTGTCACAAGACCCTCCTTTCTACTTAATTTTTTTTTCCCAGATGGCGTCCAGTCGCCATCTTGAACGTTTCATATATCAATTTCACTTCAAAATAAAGTATTCGTGCATTGATTTCATTATCTCAAATTTCAATTTTTTGAGTTGACCCGTTCAAAAAATAAAAGGGAGGGACATTAAAGAAATGTATTGTATAATATATACTAATATGTTAAGGTTTATAGTTACTTTACATGAATATCAACTCATGAACTAGACTAAAACAGTTAATTGATTGATAAAATCCTCTGGTTGTTGAGTAACAGATCTGACAAGATTATCATTTCAAGAGTTGCAGCATTGTTGTATTATGAAAAATTAGATTTGCAGACAACGGAAATATTTAACTGTTCCGGAATGTCTGGTGGACTCTGTATATTTATAAAACCAGAACATTTGCCGCAAATTTTATAATTTCTCTCAAGGAGAAAAATTTTCAAATAACTCGAATGGTGAAATGATTCCCTCTTTACTCTCGAATCTCAAGATCATGCCGACTTGCCGCACTTCAGCAGAAATCTTGGCCGGACAAATTAGAAAACTCGATTCTCGGATCCCATTATCACTTACCCAACGGTGTGTGGAGTGGTTATTGATTAATGATGCTGACGTGCCCTCCCGAATGTTTTGGGGCTTCTGGAATAGAGCCCGATTAGCGCAACTTCAGGAAAAAATAATAATAATATTATCATTCAGACTATATTTAGCATATTGAATTTCAGATCTCTTAGTTTTCACATCAATTCTCACAAAAGCGACTGCAGAGGAAGTGTCAGACGATTACAAAATGGATTTTGGGAACACAGAAATTTTTAGGGAAACCAATATAACTACAATGATATTTTAAGAACGAACCAACATTAATCTCAGACTGCTTAAACATTTCACCCAAATACGGGAAAGATAGGAAAAAATCTCCCATCATTCAGAAATTTCCCGCGTGACATAGTCAAGATTTTACTATTTTCAGAATTTATTTGAGTTTTCTCTTTTCGTTTTTAATGTCGTTTATTTTTTATTCTTTTGTTGGTAAATGCTCCATATTTGTCTTTTCACACAATATTATGTGATCTATTCATTTTAATTGAATTTATACTGATTATTCAGTTGGTCTTATACCTACCTAATAAGGATTGAGAACTGTCCAATATTTTGATAACATTGTGTAATTCGCATCAGCTATAGAATGTCATATTGATTTTTTTTCAATGAAGTCAGTTGACATAATGGAAGTATTTATCAAATTCGTTTTTTACAGTTTTTGAAAGATGTCGGCCAAAGCTATAAGGGAAGCGACCGGAAAAAATCTGATAAATAATCATCTTGGAGGCGGTACAGCTGCAGTTCAGTGCAGATTTGCTTCCGTAAATCAAGATACCAAGTTTGCTGAATTGGTGGCCAACAATCCTTGGTTGAAAACAGAGAAACTCGTCGTCAAGCCAGACCAGCTCATTAAAAGGAGAGGGAAATTGGGTAAGTTTTTGTTTTTGAACGGTTGCACAATATTGTGGCAATCCAGACATTTCAAATTGATGTTTTCAACATATGGAATTTTCATTTGTGATTAATAATTAAACCATTGCACAATATTGTGTTGCTCAAATCGGATTTATCTTCGTTTAATCTGAACGTAGATAAGCCCTATCTATGTACGCGTAATTGAGAAAAGTGCGATTGTGCTGGTTTTGACTAAGGAAGTGAATGATTTTGGAGATTACGGTCGCCTTTTTGTTTGCGTTGTTTTCAGGTAGATAAATCTATTTCAAAATCAAAATTATGGTTGTGAACATACTTTTCTTTGAGTGAATTTTGTCAAAGGTCATTATTATTAGTTACACTCTGATGTCAAACTGTACTACTAAGCTTTTATTTCACTACATTATCTTTAGCTTTTCGCCATTACTAACAGTCCCGAAAAAATTTCAAATATTATTCAGAATATACACCAATGTGAAAGATATCAGAAGTAGATACCTGATTTTATTTTTCTAGTATCTTCGAAAAAAAATTATTACCGGTTTCTTCTTTCATAAACTTCACATGAGCTTTGAATTAGGAAAGCTGAATTCATAAATATTATGGTATCGTTCAGGTTGTCAGTAGCAGATTATTTTCCATTGAACAACACAAAAATTAAAATGAAGGCGGGACATGAAAATTCAAGTTACATGAGATTGTAACGTGGGAAAACGACCTGACTGGAAATACTGGAAAGTTGTGATATTATAATTCATATGATATTATAATTCACCCAATGATTATCAAATTGCAGGAAACTCCCAAAAATATCATGGCCAATTCAATTTCTCAATATTTAAACATAAAAAAGTATAACATAAAATACAGATCTGTCCGAATATTTCAAAGTTGAGAAAAACCCAAGTCGAACCACATATATTGTATAAAATTTCTATTAACATCCAGAAGAACATATTCTCAAGAGTTAAAAAATAGGTTCTACCTCACCAGGTAATATATATAGGTTAGCCAATACTTTTTGTCCGCAATAACTGACTTCAAAAGTTGAGTATCCAATTGGTTTTTTTATTTCTCCTGTGTAAATCTTCGAAAGAAGTTCACTTGTATGAATCTGTTTATTGGGAAAAAGCTCCTTAAACATATCATAAGATATAGAAGAAACTGCTGCTCTGGTATCGTATTCCATTTCTACATGTTTATCATCTAATTGAACATCAAGGAGAAATTTATCCGGTTTTCGCTTAGATTCTGGTAACACACAGTCTATGATATTGTTGATGTAATAGAATTCATCATCAGAATCATTTTCCACAATAACCTCACTAGAACTTGGTTGAGTTACTGGATGTATCTGATTCTGATGATTGGATTTCACTAATTTCTTGGTAGATTTAACACTTGGATGATTTGTCAATGGTTTTCCATTTCTACAAACTGCATCTAAATGTCCAACTCGACCACACCTTCCACAATGTGAACGAACGTGTTTACAGACATTTGCTAAATGCGATTCATCACCACATCGAAAACAAAAACGCTTGAACGGATTCGGAGATGACCTTTTGAAGTTTTGACTGAATTTCAGTTGATTTTGAGATATTGACATCGAAGATGATTGCAATGCTTGAATTTCTTTCGAATCTTTGTGAGCCGATTCCATTGCTAGTGCTGTTTGAACACAATCCGAAAAAGTACTGTTACGTTCTTTCAGCTAAATTAGTTTTTCCAACCAACTGGAGTTTTTCAGTCCACTAATAAATTGCTGCCCTAGATGTTTATCAGCGGTGGACGCATTACAAGAAAGACATCGAAAGTCACAATTTCTTGATAGTTTCTTCAGATCTGCTACAAAATCGGTAATGCTTTCACCTTCTTGTTGTATTCTTCTTGTGAAACGATTTTCTTCCGCGATTACGCTGGGTTTGGGATGGAGATGTTCTTTAATTAGAATTTGGAGAGAATCATATGATTTGGTTTTCGGATCGTCAGGACTAGTCAAATTGTATAGAAGTTGTAATGTTTTTGTACCCATGGAATGTATCAACCATTCATATTGAAAAAATTCTCTAGTCTCTTGATGAAAATGTCCCACGTTTCCGTTTCTTCGCAGAAAGGTTCTAAAGGAATAACTTCTGGGGAACTGGAATTTTGTGAACATTGTAATGATTCCGTAAGAGTCTTAATCAAGATACTGAATTGTTCAGAATCCATTTTATTCTATCCCGTCCTCGTCGCCAATATTTTATATGTAAATTCTTGTTAAGAAATATGTAATACTTTATTACAAAAATGCATATGACAAAAGTGATAACAGAATGACAGACTTCACTGCCTACACACATCGGTAAAATATGACCTATACCGTGTGAAATATAAATGAACATATACAACAGATTCAGTATTAATGTTTGGTGTGGTTTATTTAGAGGTAGAGTTATCAGTCCATTTTTCTATCAAGGTTCTTTGAACAGACCCCATCACATTAATTTATTTACAAGAGTGTTGGAAGAGTTTTTCGATGATCTTGATATGTAGGCTCGTCAGATGATCTATTTTCACCAGGATGGAGCACCGGCACATACTTTTAGTGGCATAAAAAATAATGTTGCGAGGTCATGTTAGGTGCCCTCCGCGTTCACCATACATGACACCTCTGGATTTTTATTTTTGGGAATTGCTGAAAAATGAGGTGTCCAAAATAAAACGAAATAATATAGATGAACTGAAAAGTTATATTGAAACTATAAATAATAAAATTGATGTTGTTGAGAATGTTTTTACGAGTGGAAATGCATGATGAAATATATATTTGAAAAATATCATTTCATGACATATTTAGAGAAAGTAAGTGTCAATTTTTTTGTTTTCGGCATTTAGAAGGCCATTGAAAATGCTACTTGTTTGCCCATTCAACCAAATTCGTAGCATCAATAATAACGAAGTTGGCAATGGTGTTGACTCAGTTTGAAACACCCTATATATCAGGACAATTTAAAAGAAGAACTGATTTTTTGGTGTCATTTAATAATACTCTGAAATCAGTAATTTTGCAATAATTTAACCAATTTTTCAATTTTACCTTTTACCCAAATAGTAGAGTTCCATTTATAAAACGGTTTCAGTGTCCGTTCAATTCTAAAACTGTAGTGAAAGTGATGCCACTTGATTCCTAGAATTTTTCATGAATTTCGTTAAAGTATGTTGAATGAAATTGATGTTCACCAAGTCAATGAGACAATATTGGATAAATATTGAGGTAATATGTATTGTTTACATGAAGTATTTTTGAAACTTTGCGTTTCACTGAAGAATGTATTTCTTGTATCAACTCAAAGTCATAACGGTACAAGCTTTTTTACAGGATTGATTGCTGTCAATAAAGATCTAGATGACGTTCAAAAATGGATAGCAGAAAGAATGAACAAAGATCAGAAAGTGGGTGCTGCTACCGGCAAACTTAGAAATTTTATAATCGAACCGTTCATACCTCACAATGACACCGAAGAAACATACGTTTGTATATACTCTCATCGTCATGCAGATACGATACTGTTTTATCACCAGGGAGGGGTGGATATTGGAGACGTAGACAGCAAAGCTCTAAAATTGGACGTGCCCGTAGGAGAAACTGTCGATGAAGCCACCATAACAAAGGTGAAGTAAAAAATAAACAATAACATCNAAAGTGGGTGCTGCTACCGGCAAACTTAGAAACTTTATCATCGAACCGTTCATACCTCACAACGACACCGAAGAAACCTATGTTTGTATATACTCACACCGTCATGCAGACACGATACTGTTTTACCACCAGGGAGGGGTGGATATTGGAGATGTAGACAGCAAAGCTCTAAAATTAGACGTGCCCGTAGGAGAAACTGTCGATGAAGCCACCATAACGAAGGTAAAATAAAACATAGACATTGAAATTGATTTCAAATACTATTTTTTTTATTATTTGGGAAAGGGATCAAAAAATTTTTCATAGATGAACAATTTATTTTTGCCAACGTTTTGGACTTTATTCAATTTATCATCAGAGCTCTATGATATAATAAAGAAATGACTGCTTTTTTCAGGTGTTATTAGGAGGGGTGGTGTCCGCCAAGAAAGAAATGATCTCCACATTTATCTTCAATCTCTATAAACTATACACTGAGCTTTATTTCACATACTTGGAAATTAACCCGCTAGTTGTTACGGATAAAGAAATATTTATTTTGGATTTGGCTGCTAAATTAGATGCCACTGCTGATTTCATTTGCAGACCTATGTGGGGAGAAATTGATTATCCACCACCTTTTGGAAGAGACGCTTTACCAGGTGAGTTTATGTGATACCGGTAAAGTTACAAGTTACTGTTTCTCTAAAAAACCTTGTTGGTTCATTTATACTGTTTGATGATGGCGGTCCATCTTTAGAAAGATTTAAGAAAGATTTGAATACATTTCAGATAATAAATTACAATTAATTTCTTCATGATTAGTTTACGGTACCCTTCAAGCTTGTACATTATGAATGTCTATTCTAGAGAAAGTATAAGCTTCAAATCCGTTGTATTGTTTTCTCTTTTCATTTTTCTTTTCACCAGGCGAGTCAAAGAAGACGAAATTATTGAAGTTAACGAAGAATTGTAGTATAAGAGGCTCAATAAAAATAGTCTGAAAGTTAATCTACACATGTGTTGGTTTTATACGAAAAAGATCTCTTAATCATGTTTTTGAATCTATTCTGGTTACCTTCATTTTGAAATTTTAATGAACTTGATTTAAACCTGAGTTGAACGATTGAATAATCAGTTTGATTCTTCTGACATAGTAACCTATGACTTTGCCATTTACATTTTCAAAGCATTCCTTTTCTTTTTCATTATCACATCAATACTAGTAATGGATCAATTTCAACAAGAATTACCTTAGTTAACCTATTAGTTAAAATATATTACTTCTTGGAAACGCCATTTATTCATCCTATAAATTTGAACATGAAATGCCTGTCATTAATACAGAGACTTGGATTCCAAATCAGGTGCTAGCTTAAAATTAACGATTTTGAATAAATCTGGTAGAATTTGGACCATGGTTGCTGGCGGTGGAGCGTCTGTAATTTATAGTGACACAATATGTGATTTGGGAGGAGCAAAGGAATTAGCCAATTATGGAGAATATTCAGGTAAGCGAAACATTATATTTTCTCAACTACTGATTCCGCTCTTTCCATTGATTATTTGGTATTTGTCATTTATTATATATGACGTATTAGGGAATATATAATTATAATTTCGCCTTAACCTTTTACTAGTATAGAATTATATTTTTTATGATACTAAAAGTGGTTAATGATAATCATCTTGATGTTTTTGTCAGGTAAGGTTACCTTTTGTCACATTGTCATATTTATCACTTTTAATATTGGAGCTTGCTTGATAGTAGATATCTCTTTATATCTAGGACACGATAGAAATACATTAAGGCTGCCATGAGTCTGTATAGATAGTAGATATCTCTTTATATCTAAGACACGATAGAAATACATTAAGGCTGCCGTGAGGCTGTATATTCATATCATATCGGAAACAGAATAAATCAAGTAGTGATGGAATTAATATTACCATTGCATCTCAGCCAAATTTTCGAAATAAGATTATACAGGCTAGTAGCCATATTTGCTGTCAATTTTTGTGATCACAGATAATTTATTAGTGATTGTGAAATGGATTCAAGCGACGAAGAAAGTGTGAATTGTACTCCACCAGAAATAAGTGCATGATACAGCTGAGGATGCGAAATTGAGTTTCTGTAAATCTAAGAAAATATATAACAAAGTGTATGAAGAATTCGTGAGGTAGTGCAACGGGAATCGTGTCAAAAATAAGAACTATACAGATAATGTACTTCTTGCCTATTTTCTGAAAACATCTTATTATTCCATGCTGAAAGATACTTTAAATGTACATGCTAAAAGATATATCAGTAGTTACCTATAAGTACAATAGATATATTGATAGTCTAATGATGGTGGTTGAAGGATTCTCGACTCGTAATGTACACTCCTGTGTATTTCAGATATATGTTTCGATAATTTTGCATTTATAGAAACCATGGGAATATAGATTCCTATCGATAAGAGTTTGAAATTCACTTTAGAGCCTGCTCAACGATTTTATTGCCCGTCGGGCGATAAAGTAGTCTGCGGGCGCTAAAGTGCTACTTTACGCCCGGTTGTACATAAAATATTATTCATTGTTCGGATATAGTTGTTTTTGAACCAATAAATTATCTTTGATATATTTATCTAAACTTTTATAATGAACATAATTTTTGAAATTCATGTTTTTTCCACTGGCTACTGTGATCTCCATTTAACCTTTCGGATTATTGAGATGACGAACGATTCCAAAGAAATCGATATGATATTCTTTAATCCTATCTCTCGTAGCTGCATGTGCTCAAAACAGCATAACTTTAAATATAAAGTGAAGATTTGTACTCTTAGTAACAGTGAAAACAGTCCACTCCTATGAATAATATCTACTACAACGCCAAATATATCTGCATTTATTCTTTTCATCTTGCTTTCTGCTCGGAAGTATTTGGAAATCAGAGTAATAATTTTCAGCACTGTAAGACTCTAAAGTTTGTCTTATCTTTCGACATGTAGGAGTACAAATCCTACTTTTTCCGCCTAATTCATATAAATGCTTCTGAACTGCAATTTCAGTTAGTGAGACCAGAGTTGTAGAATCTTCTACAACTCTTGGCTTTCCTTTGATGGGTCTCCTCAAATTTACTTCTTATCTTTCACTAACGAGCCACGATTTTTTGTATTGTTGAAATATGATTCACCTGTACTTAGGACAATTTTGCAATTTTCGTTTTAAATAAAACTGACCACTGAGTTTTAGAAGTATGTTATGTTTCAGATTTACTAGAATGGTACTTGACTTCTAGTTATTCTATACTTCAGGTTGTTACAAAAAGTAAAAGTCTCCATTGCATTGAACATCGTATTCTCCCAAAAATGTATATATGAATGTATATATGAATTGTTCTGTGATGTCAGCCATAAATATATTCATTTGGTCTCTAGACAAAATACATGGTATCAGATATGTTATGATTGTGATGATTCAATTTATATTTTAATCAAAATGATTACAATATTTTTGTAGTAAATCTTTCAATAATTTAAAAGTTCTACAAGTTTTTGTTTGTTTCACATTCTTGTTCTACCATAAGTTGTGAGATTTTTGAAATACAGAATTTCTCTAAGCAATAGTAATTATTTTTGCAGCGTTTGTAGTGCGATATTGCATGACAATTATTTTTCCGGCACTTATTTATATAAATGCAACAGGCTTAAATAAGTATAGTATTTATTTCCACGTATATAAATGATGAGGCAGATTATACACCTGAATTGAGTTGTATCTCAGTAGTAGCATTGCAAAATGGGATTCGAAAAGTTTTTTATAAACATATATATTCATATCATGACAGTGATTTATTATTAATTGAACGTACTTGAAAACTAATTTTTATTTATCTGAGGAACTTCACTGCCGCTCTGACATTTTTCGAAAAAAACAGTTTGTTTTTTGTGCATTCTACATAATTTGTTTGTTATAATGACAGTATCTTGTCTTGAATAAAGAGTCTAATAGTTGACTCTGCTATTTCAAAAATGGTTTCTGCTACTGTAATAGTCATTGGCGGTGCAAGACAAAATCACATGTTGCTATTCAGGTAGAGACCATTAATTGAAAAACGTTAATAAAACCAATGGTCCCAATATATGAACATCTGTTCTTGATGATGTTTGCTTTTTTTAGCACATGTTTTTCTGAGGTCTTTACATCATCATGCACTGACCTTTCAGAGTTACTCATATGATCTGGTAAGGCTGAATATGGCTGATGTTCAAGCCTTACGACAGCACAAATTGTATTCGTTTGCTTTTTGATTAGTCAGTTTGAAACCTTTTTACTTGGACAACAACCCCTTCCTTTCCTTGGATTTTTTTTTATCCTTTCTGCTACTGTAATAGTCAGTGGTGGTGCAAGACTCCTAAATTTGATGTGGGCTAGGTACATTTCGCGATGCCCTCTAATAATGCAAGAAGAAGGGTTTATAAAATAAAAAAAATTATTCACTGAGAATCACTCACCAAAATTTTTATTCATGTATTTTTTTGAAACATTCAACAACATAATTAAAAATAAAACAGCCCGACTCAAAAGTAATTAAATAACATCATGTATAGGTCTTCGTATTAAAACCCCAGTCAGTCACTGGCACTGCGGCTATTGTCTTACTTTATGTTAATTAAAGAAACACAATATTTTTCTTTTTCTTTTTGCTGAACCAGATTCCCATATTTTCTCCCTACATCTCTTTTTCTCTTAGTGCTTGAGCCTGACATGATTGATGAATTATGATGTATGCAGCAAATTTGTATCCGTAACCTGTAAAAGAAATAACAATAACATTTGTAGGTATTTGTTTCTTTCATTACATTTTTATATCACCTGCTTCAGTATTTTACTAACGTAATATATTTTTAATACAATATAATATTGGAAGAATATTTTTGATGGTGTTCAACACTTTTCATTGATATTCAAGATAGTTATCAGTATTTTTGATCTATTTTTTTGTATATATTTATTTGAAAGTGATAAAGACGATGATTATTATTACTATTATTATCTGTATAAAAAAGTAGGTGGATTCTAGGGCAAGCAACCGAAGGTATGAAATAAATAAAAACATAATTCTTAATCATGTCATGTTTTGTAAAAAAATAGTAGTACATTACAATACTATATTCCGCACCAGAATAATATCACTGTTCCTCGAGGCGCATTTCGCATCTCCTGATGATGCTAACTTGGTTAGCACTTGGTTAGTTCTTGTGTGTGAGAGCTGTTTCTATCAGATTAATTTCAATATTACTTGTGAATTGCAGTTAAGGAAGACTGATACAATCCCAAAGTTTGAAATTTCATATTTTTTTAAGGTGCACCAAGTGAACAACAAACTTATGAATACGCAAAAACGATACTATCTCTGATGACCCAAGAGAAGCACCCACAAGGAAAAGTGTTGATCATTGGTGGGGGAATCGCTAATTTTACCAACGTATCGGCTACTTTCAGAGGTATTATCACTGCCTTGGTCCAGTTCAGGGAGAGGCTCGTAGAACACAAAATTTCAATCTTCGTCAGAAGGGCCGGTCCAAATTATCATGAAGGTTTGAGAAGAATGCGCGAAGTTGGACAAACTTTGGGTGAGATTTTTGAGAAAAATTAAAGTTTTCCTGGATACAAATATGTTTCTTCAGGTATTTCTCTGTATGTTTTTGGCCCGGAAACCCACATGACTGCTATATGTGGTATGGCCCTAGGCACTCGTCCCATTCCCCAAGAAAATAATATTGAAACTGCAACGGCAAATTTCGCACTACCTAGCGGAGAAAAAGAACCAAATACGCAACGTCTGACTTCCAATAAAGATGTTCCGACACCTTCTGTCGCCTTCAGTGTAAATCCAAAAGTGAGTTGATTTTGTATTGTATTGTGTATGTTTTGACCTTCAAAATAACTTTGGCTTAGTTTCTTCAAGTTCTCTCCTTATAAGTTGTGAAACTTTTTCTTCAGAAACTGATGTAAAATATAAATAGGGAATCGAATGTTCAACCTTAACTTAAGAATATTGCAGAACGCAGTGGATATCCAAAAACCATGAATGTGAAAAAAATCAATTATGTGCATGGTTAAATTTAGTTTAGTGTTAAGTTTCCTTCAGACCTTGTTTTTTTCAAAATGGGGAATATGCACTTTAGTGGTTTTGCCATAGGACCAACGAAATGCTCATGTTTTGATTAGTTTAACAAGTCTGGTGCATTTAATCGCTGTAGGTAATACTTTGTGAACACTGCCTAGTAGTGTATAGCCTTCAACTGCTTCCTTTTTTTATGCAATAAGGGAAATGATCTGCTAAATTCAATAATGACTCCATCTCAAATCTGCTACTGTTATTTCAATTTCAAAAAGTTTCAGAGCCTGAGATACAGAGAGTGTTTATAAACTAACTGGTAGATTATACAGTTAACCTTGAAACGAATGCTTTCTGTACATGATAAGACACTTTTTTCTTTCTTTATGATCATCTGCGCGTTTTAAATGATTCCTGCTTTGAAACTCGCCACCTTTAAAAATTTTTCTTAGAATTTTTTCAAAAGCCTAATTTATTCTGTTACATTGGTGATAGCTGTTTTAAAAATGATGGCATTATTTTGTCTTTGTCATTTGTAATATAGGTAAGTAGAGAAATAGAAAGCTAAAACCTTTCTTTCCCAAAAATTAATATCTCCTGAAAATATACGCCTTTCAATTTAGATTGAATCAATTTCATAATACTAGCTGATTTGAAATTTGAAGTGATTGGGCAGAAACTGTAATGAAATATCCTGTGGTTTTGCTGTATAAAGCTGGTAATGAAGTTAATTCATTGAAAAATTATAGATTTTTATTTGTTGAAGGAAAATGTTCCAAACCTAGTACAAATACTCACATCACCTACGAAGTCACAGATAATCAGTCATAATAACATCTTTCCATGAAAAATAATGGTAAACAATATTGTTTTCAAAAGGGAGACGCAATAACATCCATGTTCACTAAGTCTACGAAAGCCATCATTTGGGGTATGCAAAATCGAGCAATACAAAGTATGTTGGACTTTGACTTTGTCTGCACCAGAAATGAACCAAGTGTTGCCGCCATCATCTACCCCTTTACCGGAGATCACAAGCAAAATTTCTATTGGGGTCACAAGGAAATCCTCATTCCCGTTTATAAGCATATGAAAGATGCTATGAACAAACATCCAGACGCCGACGTTTTGGTGAATTTTGCTTCACTCCGCTCTGCTTACTCAAGTACGGTTGAAACCCTGCAGTTCCCCCAGATCAGAACCATTGCCATAATTGCAGAAGGTATTCCAGAAAATTACACGAGAAAACTTATCAAATTAGCGAACGAGAAGAAAGTATCTATAATCGGACCAGCAACTGTTGGTGGAGTCAAACCAGGGTGTTTCAAAATCGGTAACACTGGCGGTATGATGGATAACATTTTGCATTCTAAGTTATATAGACCTGGAAGTGTGGCATATGTATCCAGGTCTGGAGGTATGTCCAACGAGTTGAACAACATTATGTCCAAGGCAACTGATGGTGTATATGAAGGAGTTGCAATTGGTGGAGAAAGATGGTCTCAATTTGATTGGGAAGTAACATCACCTTTGCACTCACAAATATTGCGCTGAGGGATATTTTCCGTTGTGAAGTAGCTAGTGATAAAAAATGATATCAAAAAATAAAAAATAGACTTATATATTACAGTAATACCTTGAAAATGGAGTTAACAATTTTTATATTTCACAATAACGAACAATAAAATTAGAACTTTCTCAATTTTTTCTTCCTATCATATATTCTAGGAGATAATTCAGAAGATTATTTTCATTTGCTTGGTTCCTTGATATTCAACCAATTCGAATGTAACAAATAGTGTTTCTAAATGTATTTATATCCATTATCTCAAAATGATGTTACCTTTTACTCATCCATGTAAGTCACATTTATGTAAGTCACATGCTATTTTGCTATTTAACAGTTTAGGGAGATCTAGTTATGAACGTCAATTACATCATATATCAACAGAAATATTTCTTTTTCGTAAAATTTATTCTCTTTCAGGTATGCCAATATCTGATGTCCTTCAAAAGAACGTTGGCATTGGTGGTGTGATCTCTCTTCTGTGGTTCCAAAGGTGTTTGCCGCCTTATGCTTGCAAATTCTTTGAAATGTGTCTTATGGTTACAGCCGATCATGGTCCAGCAGTATCTGGAGCACATAATACAATCGTATGTGCAAGAGCTGGTAAAGATTTGGTTTCAAGCGTAGTGTCTGGTCTATTGACTATTGGAGATAGATTCGGAGGTGCGCTTGATGGAGCTGCCAAGCAGTTCAGTGAGGCTTATGAAAAAGGTAAGTTCATTAACTTGCTTTGAAGAGAGTTCATTTTGTCCCTGATCCATTGAAATATTATGTCTCTGAAATGAAAATTTATTGATCATTTGGGGACAAAATACCTTTGATCATGTATCGAAAAATGCCAACACCTCTATTCGATCTTTTCAATACTGATGTTATGAATTCAATTACATTATGATATTTTCATGTGGGAGCTTTTTCGTGAATATTTTTTGAATAAATTAATTACTTCATTCAGGTCTTTGTTATATGTTTTGCATAGAGTTTCAATACGGAATAATGCAAAAACAAATTAATAATTGGTTGAATCTGTTTTCATCAACAATCTGAATTTGAGAAAAGTAGCGCATTTATGTGCCTAATAATATGCCATTTAGAAAATTTTGATATTCTGGGTAGTTTTGGAGATATTCGAAGAAAACCGAAATTTGAGAATTTCGTTTTAATTTTCTCCTAGCTTTATTTTCAAAGGGAATTTTAAAGCACTACACGATAACGTAAGCTAAGTTTTTCTGCTACGTTTCGTCTTTTAGAAAAAATCATCAACTTTTTATTTTTATATGGGCTGAAACTAAAGTATACCCTGTGTACGACTCTATTTTTCATTGTGAATACAGCAACGTATCACACAAAATGATTTCATAACCATTTCATGCGCAAAATGTTTTTTTTTTGTCTAATATGATTTTAAAGGAAATCTGATTCAATAAATGTTTGATTGATTGATTTTTGTCAAAATAAAACTGTTGTTTAGTAGAATTTTTGACATATTATCGTTTCTACTTTCACATCTCGTTACCTACCTAATTTGTGTTAAAAATGGAAAACGGCAGCTTTTCGAATACTGAAAAATTTGATGTTACATTTTGTGCCAAAGAAATTGTGTTTATGCTGAACGTGCGTACTTTAATATGTATCCAGAGAGGCGAAATCCTAGTAAATCAATATTTAGACCTTTAGTTCTTGATTTAAAAGAATACGGATCATTTTCCGACAAATGCAATGAAGAAAGTCAACGTGATGTGTTACTGACCGTTGTTGAAAATTTTAATTTTGAGATATCCAGTCACACTATTGAACATAGGTAATACTGGAGTAGCCAAATCCACTGCTCACTTCATTTTAAGAAAAAATAAATATCATCCGTATAAATGTAGGATTTGTCATGGACTCAAACCAGGTGACGATGCAAGGCGAACAACCTTTTGTGAATGGTAGGTAGTACACTAGAAAATTTCCCTTTCAAAATAATTTGGTCTGATCTAGTGCTTAAAATGTTGCCATGGCAAAGTGCTATTTGTTTTAGATTTCCTTCGAAAATAAATCTAGGAGAAAATAAAAACAAAATTCTCAAATTTTTGTTTTTCTCGGATATCTCAAAAACTACTCGGAATATTTAAACTTTCTGAATTGCATATTACTAGGCACATAAACGCGCTACTTTTCTCTAATTTAATCGACCCCGTATCACTTACCGTTTCCGATATCCTCATGATGTTCATTCTTATCTTGGACACAGTGTATTTATTCCATACTGTAAGTATACTCATTCTAGAAATCATAGTTTTCATTATATCTGTCATATTATTCTGTCATGTTGTTCTTTAAATCATCTAAAATCTAAAGGAACAATTCGTTCGGGCCAGTCTCAACTCCCTGCACTGTAGGTTAATGAACTGACACCTATCAGAAAACAACTACTTCTTTGGCTAATACCACGAAGGGCGTAGGATTATATGCGGCAGGTGTCAGTGCAAGATTCTCCACTGAGGTTATTCCTGCCTATGCTGTTGGCGATACAACTGTCGCAATATATTTTCAATTATTGGAACATACTTGCAGACCGGTTTCGGGCTCTTTGGTCACTCGTCAGTGCAAGGTAGTGTCTGTCGTCAACATGAGGTATGTCTACTGACTATACGTGAAAGTGTTGTATTTTGTTGATTAAAGCCAATTTGTAATTTAATCTATTTATAACAATTTGATCAACAAAATAATGGAAGATATCTTCGTCCGGATCGTTTTGAAGTAAATCCAACTTAAAGTTCAGCGAATCGGGATTGGATTCATTGAAAACAAACCTTAGAAAATATTCTTGAGGTTCATAATGAAACCTCAGATGGAATTAAATTGAAATTATTAAAAAAGCACATATCTCCTAATATTTTCGGAATAATCAGTGAGAACAAAAACTTCAAATCAGTTCTTGATGCACTTGACAGGGTTTATGTCAAACACAATAATGAAATTTCAGCCCACCATCGCCTTCCTTCACGAATTCAGAAGACTGAAAAAACTATCGATGAATATCTTCAAGCAGCGAAACAATTGTCGAAATAATCCAACTTCAAAGCTGTGACAGCAGAACAAAATCAGAATAAGAGATGCCTTCATTGACGGTTTGTACTCAGCCAGTATACGACAGCGATTTTTCGAAAACGTCACTCTCGAGTTAAATGGAGCATTCGATGAAGCTCGACCCCTGGAGGTGACTCAGCTAAATTCTATGAGTTTTTCATTGCCATCCTCGTCAATGAATGCGGCTCCAGAAGATCCATCATCCAGTTGTTCTGATATTGCCGTAAATGCCGTAAATTCTTATCAAAATAATGCTTTTTCTGTGGCAATAAAAGACACGCAAGAAACCAATGCCCAGCTTTAGGCGCGATATGTGAAAACTTCGAAGAAAAGACATTTCGCAAAAGTTTGCTGAAGTAAGAGAGCGGAAAGTAGAACAGTAGTGGCTGGTGCAAAAATACTTGGTTGCTTTATTATCGGCCACTTCACCCGGATGCCTGAGTAAAGCCATAGTACCAATCACTATCAATGAAATTAACGCTGTAGGTCTCATTCATACCGGAAGGAATTCTAGTTTCATCAATTCTTCTATTGTCTCTCGTTATAACATGCAAAGAATACCTTTTGATATGAAGATTGATATGGCTTTTTCAAACCATGTATCACAAGTGGCAAAAAGCTGTATAGTTGATCTGCAATTGAAGTTAGTTTCGGTGGGCCAAGGACTCTTCTCAAAATTTACAGTTTTACACAGGCGTCAGTCCCATCGGCCACTCTTTTCGAAAGTCTCTCACGAGATTGCAGGCTCATTGCTATAAAATTTCGCAGATAATCTCAGGATGATGAAAAATCAATCGAATCGGAAATTCAAAGACTTCTCTTGGAAGGAATTATTGAGAAAAGCAAATCCCCTTGGCTGACACAAGTTCTTGTTACAACCAATGCCAATCACAAGAAACGAATGCTAGTCAATTATGCTTAGACTATAAATATATTTACGCAGTTTGATGCACATCCACTTCCAAATATGGAAATTATTATTTCTAAGGTTGCGAATTATAAAGTGTTCAGTACTGTTGATACCTATTTCTGAGAATGAAAGACCCTATACAGCATTTGAAGCATGTGGATATTTATTTCAGTTATCATATCATAGAACGTATTTTATTGTTATACTCGTATTTTTTGGTGTCCAACAGGGATCGGCAAGAATAATATTGACAGTATTAATAATTTTGGGAAGAATTTTGATAAATAATCTTCGGTTTGAGAACATAGAATTTCACGTCAGAAGTCGCGATTAAAGAGAAGAAAATCCGGGATAGTGGGCTGTGGTTGAATGGAATTCGAAGTACCGAACGTTTTGTCGTAGACATAATCAGTGGTATGTACGTTAACTGCTGAGGCGAATGTTATATTTTGAAGTACCACGTACCGCTGATGAAGTCTGCCAAACGTTTGCTGCTTCAAGTTCCATTCGACCAAAGCCTACCAGTACGGATTTTGTTCTCTTCAGTCTTTGGTTTCTCGTTCCTCACTAATCGATTTCCATTGTTTGAGACAGGATGAAAAGTAGCAAATAGAAGATCAATTGAGCATCAAAACGATGAGAATGGTTAAAAAGGCAGCTTATATTCGTGGTGAACACATGTACCTATTCATGAATATATTGAAATTTCATAAAACTTTTAAAACATATTCAATCGATAGTTGTTTACTAGGTTTTTTTTTAATTTCAGGTATGCAACCCGCAGAGTTCGTTAACCAAATGAGAAACAAAGGAGAACTTATTATGGGTATAGGCCACAGAGTCAAGTCCATCAATAATCCAGATCAGCGTGTGAAAATAATTAAAGAATTTGTCATGTCTAACTTTCCCGCTACTCCACATACGCAGTATGCCCTAGAAGTTGAAAAAATTACAACGAGCAAGAAACCCAATCTCATTCTGAATGTAGATGGAGTTATTGCCGCCGCTTTTGTAGATATGCTGAAAAATTGTGGTAGTTTCACAAGCGAAGAAGCTCAAGAGTATATCGACATTGGAGCAATCAATTCGCTCTTTGTTTTGGGCAGGTCAATAGGTTTCATTGGGCATTTCATGGACCAGAAGAGGCTGAAACAGGGGATGTACAGGCATCCATGGGATGATATTTCATATGTACTACCAGAACAATATAACAACGATAACTAGATGGATTATAATAGATTTGACTATTTCACAAACAACAGCAGCACTTATTTTTCATAGAGACTTTATATAGTTAAGAGTAGAATGTATGAAATTTTGATTGGTTGTATCGAAATTGGGACATATGCACTTTCCATACCCATTTCCACGATGAAAACTAATGAACTTACTTGTATGAGAATGATATTCTCTAATTTATTAATTTGAAAATTGAAATTTATATTTATTAACCAATTATTTTCTAGTGTTTAATTTAAAGTGATGTCAGGCATAATTTTCAAGAGATCGGCTATTTTATCTATCTTGCTTCTACATGAGTTCTAAATTTATGTGTGTTGTATTATCTGAATGAAGTGATTTGAAATTGTTCAATTAACTCATGGTTGGACCTAAATTTCAGGGAAAATGTTGAATACAATTTTTGTATACCTAATTATAATAAATAATAATAAATAAACTTCATTATCAAAAACATTTTTTTGGCAAAGTTTGCATTCAAAATAATCAACATTTAATGACATGACTACTGCTTCATAACCCCTAACTTTTTACCCAAGAATTGTTTCTATTTATGAGATTCGTCAGTATTAATTATTTTAGAAATTTATTAAATATTCCATAATCCAACTCTGGTAACTGGTAATTTGAATGTTCCAGTAAGCGGATAGTTGTTGGTTCACAGATGGATCAAAAACACCTTCCGGTTCTGGTGCAGGTGTTTTCAGTCGCAGACCCAGGACAGAGTTATCTACCTGCCTAGGAACTTATGCGACTGTATTTCAAGCGGAAATTTACGCTATACGCTATTGAATTGTGTGCGGAAAGATTGGAAGAATCCAACCTCACTCACAAGTCAATAAAAATTTTCTCGGACAGTCAAGCGGCGTTGGAAGCTCTTGGCCCCCACCGAGCAACGTCTAAATTGGTAGCAAACTGCCAAAAAAGACTCTCGTCGATAGGAAGACTAAACATATTGTTTCTGGTCTGGATTCCAGACCAGAGACAATATGTTTAGTTGGACCAGAACCTGTCATTGGTATCGCTTTGGGCTTTTCCAAACAAACACTTAACACCTTGATGGCAAGAAGAGTTATGGACTTCTGGCAGAATCTTCCTGAATTGGCTCACTCCAAGGCGTTTATTCACCCTTCGAAGCTTCATTCCAAACAGTTGTTGGACTATAGTAGGGATGAACTACGATCTCTAACAGGCCTTCTTACAGGTCACTGTCATTTGAATCATCACATGCAGAGACTTGGACTGTCGAAAGACAGTGTGTGTCGCCTCTGTCTGGAAAATGATGAAACTGCAGAGCATATACTTTGTGCCTGCCCCGCTGGGGACCGAATCAGGTTCTTTGAGTTCGGCAGATCCGGCTATTCGGCTTCGTTAAGAAGCTGGGTTTATTTGGCCGAGTGTGAATAGGTGTGAGCCACAATAAGCCCTTACGAAAACACTGTTGTCAAGTAAATTGAAGGCCGTCGTGGTTTAGAATTGTATATTAACGTTTCGCCAGCACGAGTGGCTGGCTTCCTCAGAGGTCTATTCATGGTATACGGTATACCCCCGCAGCTGAGATTGGATCTGCGAAAGACAAAAGAGATTCACTCTCAGCTGCGGAGGTATACCGTATACCATGCACCTGCGGAAAAGTTTATATCGGTACCACCAAAAGATCCATGGGTAGAAGGCTGAATGAACATCGGAGAAACTGTAGATTAGGTCAAATAGAAAAATCGACAGTAACGGAACACACATTTAGTGAAGGAGATCATGCGATACTATTTGAAGATGTGAAACTACTTGCACCCGATCATGGATACCACAGTCGGCTTGTACGGGAAGCCATAGAAATCCATAAACATACAGAAAACTACAATGGAAAAGAGGAGGCGATAACGCTTAACCGGATTTGGAATCCCATACTGAAAGATGCTAACCCACACAGCACCAGATATTCATGGAATATTCCCTGTATGTCATAAAACGAACGTATATATTCCAAATATTCATAGAATATTCTTGGAATATAAGGACAGAGTTATCTACCTGCCTAGGAACTTATGCGACTGTATTTCAAGCGGAAATTTACGCTATACGCTATTGAATTGTGTGCGGAAAGATTGGAAGAATCCAACCTCACTCACAAGTCAATAAAAATTTTCTCGGACAGTCAAGCGGCGTTGGAAGCTCTTGGCCCCCACCGAGCAACGTCTAAATTGGTAGCAAACTGCCAAAAAAGACTCTCGTCGATAGGAAGACTAAACATATTGTTTCTGGTCTGGATTCCAGACCAGAGACAATATGTTTAGTTGGACCAGAACCTGTCATTGGTATCGCTTTGGGCTTTTCCAAACAAACACTTAACACCTTGATGGCAAGAAGAGTTATGGACTTCTGGCAGAATCTTCCTGAATTGGCTCACTCCAAGGCGTTTATTCACCCTTCGAAGCTTCATTCCAAACAGTTGTTGGACTATAGTAGGGATGAACTACGATCTCTAACAGGCCTTCTTACAGGTCACTGTCATTTGAATCATCACATGCAGAGACTTGGACTGTCGAAAGACAGTGTGTGTCGCCTCTGTCTGGAAAATGATGAAACTGCAGAGCATATACTTTGTGCCTGCCCCGCTGGGGACCGAATCAGGTTCTTTGAGTTCGGCAGATCCGGCTATTCGGCTTCGTTAAGAAGCTGGGTTTATTTGGCCGAGTGTGAATAGGTGTGAGCCACAATAAGCCCTTACGAAAACACTGTTGTCAAGTAAATTGAAGGCCGTCGTGGTTTAGAACTGTATATTAACGTTTCGCCAGCACGAGTGGCTGGCTTCCTCAGAGGTCTATTCATGGTATACGGTATACCCCCGCAGCTGAGATTGGATCTGCGAAAGACAAAAGAGATTCACTCTCAGCTGCGGAGGTATACCGTATACCATGCACCTGCGGAAAAGTTTATATCGGTACCACCAAAAGATCCATGGGTAGAAGGCTGAATGAACATCGGAGAAACTGTAGATTAGGTCAAATAGAAAAATTGACAGTAACGAAACACGCATTTAGTGAAGGAGATCATGCAATACTATTTGAAGATGTGAAACTACTTGCACCCGATCATGGATACCACAGTCGGCTTGTACGGGAAGCCATAGAAATCCACAAACATACAGAAAACTACAATGGAAAAGAGGAGGCGATAACGCTTAACCGGATTTGGAATCCCATACTGAAAGATGCTAAAGGTAGCAGCAGTGCAACGGAATGTAACAGGTAATAACACTTCGGCCAATAACAACGAACTAATTAAAAAGGCGGCTACCTATGTCAACATAAATACAGCTTACGAACTAGAAATCACGAGTCCAAACCACGACGTCCTTCAAACCCGAATGAAGATCGCAACGTTGTTAAGGTTGTGATTCCATATATTTTATCATCATTTTTCCACATCTGTTTGGTATAATTTCCGTACGCCACTGCAAGTGACATATTAAGGAAAAATGTTAAGTCATTTCTGAGAATTGACTGCTTACTATTTTGAAATTATAGCTTTTTTATAGCATTGAACACTTGATACCATAGAAATTTTATAGTATATTTTTTCGACAAGAGAGAAGTAACCATAACTCATTAGAATGAAGTTTATTCACTTTGCTTTATCGTGCGATTTTCACCAAACACTTTTACAAAAACACAACATGTGTTTCGCCATATAATGACTTCTTCAGGCGTGTTTTTACTGCGACCCGAAAAGATTAGCATCGTAAATCATTTAAGCGAGTGATTTTCGTTCCTCGCGTGTAGCATACCTACTAGGTATATGTACTTTTTCTGGCTTCTGTCATAAATATTTTGAATAAAGGATCATTGCTTAGGTACTTACTCAACAAGAAATGGTCATCAATTGCCGAATTTGGAATTATTTGTGTAAATGCGGCCGACCATAGAGAACTATTATTAAAATTATTACTTGTTTGATTGATGATCTAATTGTAGAACTTCATATTGAATATAGGATAAAGAAAGTAACTTTTGTCTAATTTGTACTTATTATTATTTGTTACGACCGGTTTCGGTTTGTTAGACCATTCTCAAGTAACTAAGTTGCAATTCGTAAAAACATTTGTAAAGTTGAAAAAAAATTTATTTAATGTTCATTTATATATTGTTTGATAATGTATAATGTTCAAAGGAAACAAATAATTGATTAAAAGTGATTTTCATCTAAAAAATTGCGACTTTGAGGATTTCAATCATGTATGGTCATGGAAAATATTAGATATCTTCAAATTTATATTTTTAACGGAAAAGTGGTTGGAATGGAATTTGAAGATAACAACATTCCCTATAAAATGAAGAAAAATCTAATTTCCAGATAGATAGTTTTCATTTTATGAGGAAAAAATGACGATTTTTAGAAAAAAAATCGTTTTATTCCAATTCTATATCAATGAGGCACATTATCATTATCCAATTGAGCTCAAACTTTCCAAATCTCATTCTCTAGATTCTAGACAAATAGCAAATATTACATTACTCGACAAGAGACTCTACTACATACCTTAAAAAGAAAAACAATTCTAGCATTACCGCTGACAAGAAAACATCTCTCGTAATAATATTGGAATTTTGTCGTATATGCAGTCTCCACAAATATACAAACTAAACATCCCGTCATCAGTGCTTTATTCCCTTTGCACACTGTTACCAAATACCTACCCTCCGACCACTAGCCGAAAAGTTGTCATCATAAATATGTCTGAATGTCCCAAGCTTTTGAAGTATAACAACAAGAATAATGCTATTAGTTCTTTTTCCATTATACTGTGGTAACGGTAAAAGCTGTCGAGAGCAAAGGACAATGGTCAGGAGTTTCCCCTTCCCAAACAAGGGAGCCAAGTTGCAGCGGTCGCAATACACCCAAATTTCGTGGGTGTTGGATAAGTAGACACTCCAAATAAAAAAATTTGAAATTTGACAGTGACATATTGGTTTTTCTGATATGAATTAACAATTAACGTGTATTGTGTCTGTATGGTTGTAAAAAAATAACCAGTTCCTGGTGATGAAAATAAAAAATGGCAAAGGAAAATTCAAGCTGTTTTATTCTGGAAAAAATAAGTGAACAAGTGGGTACCTCGGAGCCCGCACTTAAATTACTATTGACTGTTTTAGCTGGTGAGGAACTATTGAATTAATTTGGATGAAATGTCCTATTTTTATCAATGGTCTGATGATACAAAGTTCAAACTCTTATTTTTTGTTGATTTTACAGGTTATCCTTTAGCTTTAATTCATAGGAAATATTTTTATGGAAAAGATGTCAGCTTGCAACATTTATTTTTCATTGCCTCTGGATTCTCCATGGGATATTGGAATTATGGGCGAGACATGTTTCATTGTGTCTTCACAACTTTTTTCACCTATTGCACACTCTTCATTTTGAAAGGAACAGATATTAGTGTTGCAATAACTTTAATTTTCAATTTAGGATACCTTCTAATAGGTAAGTTACCCATCAAGTACATGTAATACTTCCTATTAGGTAACTATAAGAACAATGTTTTTTCATGGATCACCTTCTATGAATTCTAGATATTTTTCATTACATAATGTCACTTTTTGAGTTTATTGCCTACCTGACAAATCATATCTCTATTTCCATTTTAACTAGACCATTCATTCAATTTTGTTATCTGGTATTTTTTAGGTAATACAAATATTATCATGGATTGGTTTTCAAACTATGAGTGCTTATCTCAATGATAAAATCATAATATTATGATGTAATCAATTTTTGTCAAAAAAAAAAATATAGTAAACTCCTCTCAACTAAACTACTATTCGCCTCGCTAATTACCTGTGATATTTACAATATGAAAATTATGTTTCAAATATTCATTGTAGGCTTATTTTTCATTATCTCTTCATGAATGAAAACCTTTGAAATAAACCTTTTTTTTTCAAAATTCAATCCTAAGGTTGACCCCAATTGATTCCAATAACTGTTGTATAATACATTATAATACTTAAGTGTTTGTATGTGTAATAAAAATTTGGTTTTTGCAGTTATAATGACTAATAGATACAAAAGTGTGTGGTCTTCCGAAATCTCCTTTTGTGCTTTGGGGAAGAGAAAGGAACACTACCTCTCTTTCTGTTCCTCCATTTTACTGTTACTTCCAAAAACATCATTCTTCGAATGAGAAAATAAAAGGAAATTTAATAAAGATGTTGCCAAGTTTCACTATAACTACTCTACCAATTCAAATGGATAAACTTAAAATAGTAGTTTACCTCTGTTTTCACTTGATATGACAATTGGTTCTTTGGAGAGAGAGTTTTTCTCATTATTAATTTAATAACAATATAAACCTTAATGATTGAATTCTGAAGGATCAACTGTGGTTAGAAACAGGCAAATTTACATCAACTTATATTTGTGGTCATGCAAAAACTTTGTGGAGTGGACTGACAAAGAAATCAAATGTTATTATGTATGGAGCTGAAAAATAATAACAAGAAGCAGCTGCTTTTCGTAATATTACCAAGTGCTATACCAAACTTGACCAATACATATAGAAATACTTAATTGTTATCATTGGATACAATTTTCATTTTGGAGAATTAATGCTTCAATATAATTCGTGTTTTATTTTGGTTATTATCTTTTTCATTTGATTTGAAAAGTTTTTTTATTTATTCTTTTGATTTTCAATCTAGAATTCTTTTAATAGTACCAATAAAATTTTTGAGTGGACCTGCTAGTTTGAGAGCTGACAGGTTGACTTTATCTGGTAAGGCAAGTCAACCTGTGGATCTGACTTTGGAAAAATGAGTCCTTTTACTGAAAAAAACTGTATCAGTTTACTTTCACCTAGATGATTTTAATCATAAGACTGTCTCAAAGGGAAGGTTGAATATCACATCTACATACTATTTGCACTAGGATAAGGATCAGCCAATCTCACAAGGTTTTGTACCTTGGGATTGCCAATGCTAGATTTTGTATCTTTAACTGATCAGCAAAGAATTTTTTTTCAGGATATTATTATGCTAGTACAGATAGTTACGACATTAATTGGACAATGCCACAGTGCATATTAACTTTGAGATTAATAGGTGAGTCTTAATAACACCAAATTATCTTTGTGCTCCGAAAGCATTCAAACAATTTGCAGGTGTTGCATTTGATCTTTACGATGGACATCAGCCTGTCGAAACACTATCTAAAGACAGTAAAAAAGTTGCGTTGCAGAAAAGGCCCAGCTTACTAGAAATGTTTGGACATGCCTTCTTTCCAGCCTCTTTTTTGGTTGGACCACAATTTCCTATGAAAAGGTACCAAGAGTTTGTTTCTGGGCAGTACAGTGAAAAGGTGAAATTTATTATAATCATACAATAGAATACAAATCAGCACTCTGTTTTTAGTAAAGTTCATTTTCTGCAGACAAACAATAGTTTCACTACGAAAATGTTCTTCCATTAATCATACAATAGAATACAAATCAGCACTCTGTTTTTAGTACAACTAATAAAACTGTCTCATTTTTTAGGAAACTCCCAACCAACCGCCTGACAGTATTGATGCTGCAATAAGAAGATTTGCTCTAGGGGTGCTCTATCTAGTCATATTTCAGGTTTTAGGCATTTTTGTGTCTGATGATTTGTTTATCAGCGATGAATTTGGGAATCTAAGCTTTGCACGGAGAATATTGTTATTGGGAATATGGGGAAGATATACATTGTACAAATATATATCCTGTTGGTTGTTGACAGAAGGAGCATGTATATTATTTGGTGAGTGTTGTAAAATCCCCTAAATACTTTAAATTGAAAAGGGAATTTTTATCTGCCGATAAAATATATATGTTTGTGCTACAGTTCTTGGGAGGTAGAACTATTCTTAAGAGAACTTTCTGCTCTTTGGGTTTGTTTTAAACTAAAAGTGTATAATAATATAAAGTATAATTCGATGAATAAATTTCACTCAAGAGGAGGACCCACCATAGAGACCCGAAAATGATGCATCTCTATGGGAATTCGGACTCCAAATCGTCCGTTCCATAGTTATACTTTCCCCTGAAAACAAGGGAGCTGTAGCCTTTTGAATTTGAAGACAGGGCCTTGAAGTCTTCAGAAGTTTGGTTTTTATTCTATGCATTTTCCGCGACATTGAGAGAGCAGGAATTAGAGCGTTTCTCTTTAAGATAGGTGCCAGAGTTGGAACTCATTAACAAAATCCCCACTTGAAAGCATGCAGCCGTGATATATTCAGACTACTTCAACTTGTTATCTACGTGAACGCTGAGGAATTTCGTGAAACTTTAGCTATTATTGCAGATCTATCAATATGTGATTGCTGTTATTTCTCAAGTTAAAATAGATAAATTATGTATCTTGCTCATTGCTTGTGAAATGAGTAGGCAAATTATTGATAAACAAGAGAAAGATCAGCGAACCTAACATAGAACCTTGAGAAATCCCAGAAGTCAATTCACGATATTCTGATTTCACATCATTAAATTTAACAAACATTGTTCGAGCTGAAAGAACGCCAATGATCTATTTTGAGAAGATGCTCCTAAATCCAAGATTGTGTAATTTATTTTTGATAAATTCAAAATTTATGCAATTGTGTGCACAGGACAGATCAAAGAAACATGATTACAATGATCTAAAGACTTCTATATCTATGTTTTTTAAGAATATACAAGTGGCTGATTGAATGGACCTGCATCTAAAAGACCACGTTGAGAAACAGACAGGACTTCAAATCATGATAAAACTTTGGTATTCACTCATTTGCTGCCATCTCAAATGTCTTCACAAGTTTCGCAAATGAATATTTCAAAATTTATAAACAATTTATTAAAAAAAGGATTAGTTTTCTTTCATATGCTGTTGGAGATATTGAAAATTTGATAAGAGAATCCTCAATCAACTCCCTGAACTATAAAACCGGATGGTTTCCAAACTACGGCCCGCGGGCCAAATCCGGCCCGCCAGTGTCATCAACAATTTATGTAATTTTGATTNCCTTGGAACAAACTGAAAAAATCATTATGGCCCGAAGGCTTAAAAGTTTGGAGACCCCTGCTCTAATCCATTGAATATGAAAATTAAGAAATAGAAAAAAATTAGATATTTGCTGGATAGCTGAATAAAAAATAAGCTTTTTTTAGTTCTCTCAATTATGTTTTTATTATTCAACAATTTTTGTTGAAGGATTACATATAACAATTTTAAAAATTAAAGCCTGATTTGTTTCTTTGTTGGATCTTTTTTAAAGGCAACAGAAAAGATCCTTTCTGGATAAATTGAGAGTTTATGAACAATCAAATATGTAAAATAATGAAAAACATGAAACATCGAAAAAGTAAATTTATAGTTTTTAAATTATTAAATATTTTTGCCATAGACAGTGACTCATAATAAATATTCTTTTAGGCCTAACTCACAATGGAGAGGATGAAAATGGCGAGGTTCAATGGAATGGTTTGGAAAATATAAAAATTTCTATTTTCGAGAACACCACCGAATTCGGACATTTCATTCAATCTTTTAATGTTAACACCAATCAGTGGTCTGCACAATATATTTATAAGAGACTGAAATTTCTTGGCAATCGCCTTGTGAGTCAATCTGTTACCCTTCTTTTCTTGGCAGTTTGGCATGGACTCCATTCAGGATACTACGTTTGTTTCTTATTTGAATTCATTGTTATGTACATGGAGAGAGATGTGAGTTGATTAACAAATTGTTCGTATATTATGAATAACTTGTTTTTTATATTTCAGTTGAAATCCATAGTGAAGTCCAATGAAACGCTAACCCGATTTTTTGATATCCCACAACTGCAATTGCCTCTACAGATTATTTTGAGGATCTACACCTTTGTCTTCATGGGATGGTGCCTATTGCCATTTGCTCTTTTGCATTTTCATTCATATATGAAGGCATTCGCAAATGTTTATTATATTGGTGCAGTATTGTTTCTGCTGTGGCCTATTGTATATGCCCCAATACTCAGATTGATTTTCAAGAAAACAAAGATTCGTAGTGAGTAACTTGTATGGAAACTGATATTATTCGCTAAAGAATTTCTATAAATGACTGAAATTGAACTTTTTTTTAGTATTTTATAGTTGCTTGGTATTTTTTTTTTGAAAATGCAGTCTTATTGTATTTTTACCTATTTATTTGAGATAATTTGAATTCACCATTGTTGAAAATCGTTTCATGCTTTGGAGTTCATATAGAACGTATGCAATTTTTTTTATTATGTTATTATGGCAATATCAAGTGCTAAGGGTGCTTCTTCTGTGAATAATTTTTTTGTTTTCGTGATACTTCATTATGAATATCTACTATTTCTCATAGTATATTAAAACGTAACAACTCTGTCCAGTTTTCAAAAAGAGTGTGAAGTCAGTATTCTGAATATATTTTTGCTAGTTTTTTTCATGAGTCACAGTATCCATGAAAGAAAAATATATCAAAACTGGTAGGTACTTACTGCTGACCAGGTACGACATTACAAATTATCACTACTCATCACTCTCTGAATTGAACTTTTTGATATCCTATTACATTTCAATCTTCAATTCAAATATATCCTCTGTCCTCTTATCAGCTATTTAGATTAATTCAATATAAACACTTCTCCTTTACATCCGAACTTTAACATTCTTCTGGAAGTATGTTTCACAAACCGAGAAGGCGTCATCAGGAGATGACGCCTTCAATATTATGTACTAGCAATGAAATGATAATATATGATGGTATTATAGCGGATTTCTGAGATTTACTTTCATTGTTGAAATGTGAATTTTTATGAATGTAACTCATCTGAGATGATGGCAAAACGCCAACCTTTGAAAAATATATAATTTGTAGAATAGTTTATCCTAGGAAGATTTTTCCTCAAATGTGGTGAATCTCTGCCTGTTACTATTTGAAATTTGAAATTCTTGTGAAAAAAAGAAAAACGGAAATTGAAAGAAGTAAAGAAAATGGTTGCTCATCTGGCATTGGTGCCTTATACTCAGAACTAAAATTTTATAAATTTCATTACTTCCCTATAAAAAACATAATTAAGATGGATTCAAAATTTCAGTACTATTGAGTTTTGACTTCTTCGATATATTTTAGAAAGATAATTTTCAGTCGTGCTAATTTCAAAAGCAGGATATCTCAACGATTGTAATATCTTTCTCAAAATAGTAATATTAAGATAGTTGGCCAATGATAATTTTTAAACGAACTTGCACAAACCTTATTTGTACGATTTTTTATTGTCTTGAAATAAAATGATTTTATGAAAATATAATGTAGGCAATTCTTTCAGTTCCCTTACCAGGTTACCACTTTTGTTTTCATCTGATCATTGTGAAATTACTTATTCAGTCAGTTACAACTTAATTGTTAGTGATAAGACTGCCGCTGATTTCTTTACTGCTATAACTTGGTATGACTACAGAAATCTAAGAACCAATATAGCAATACAATGAAATATGTAAATATTGTGTACTTTGCATAGCGTGGAACTAACTGCAATCAGTGATACGTAGATGCTCAACTATTCTTTTGAACTCGTGAAGAATTTTTTTTTTTTTACATTTGAGTGATAATTTATAAATTGTTTTATAGCTATTGAAAGAAGTGTCAGTTATGTGACTTTGCAGTGACTACTCCAAAATATATTTTCAAAGGTCAAACTTGATCACTAGGTGATAGTTCGTTCGGCCATATAGTTTCCAACGAAAGAAAAAGAATAAAAACATGGATTCAAGTAAAACGAGTGTACATTACTAGAAATTTATAATGTGGCAAAGGAATTGATATTTTTCTGAAGTTCATTACTCAATAACAAAATGATAGTTGTGTCACTATTTTCCGGGTTTGAAGGTTGTGTGTGGATTTTTGAAATTTCATCCTGACGTTTCGCTGGCGCGAGTGGCTGGCTTCCTCAGAGGTTTATACGTCTTGAGTTAGTATCTCGGAAGTATAAACATCTGAAGAAGCCACCCACTCGCCCCAGCGAAACATCAGGAAGAAATTCCAAAAATCCACGGCCTTCAAACTCGGAAAATTGTGATACTGAAAACGTTGGCCGTGAAAGCCTCAACCATTATATTAAATTATAGTAGTTTGAAACTAAGCTAGTTTTATGTCACAATATTTTGTATACTCCTTGGATGATTAGTTAGAAGAACACTGGATTCAAATCTACTGGGATAATGATCCATAGATTCATCAGTATGCTAATGTCCACAGATAATTTTAATGAAGAACTCATTTTGATAAGTAAGTTGCAGTAAATAATAACTTCAACCTGAACATGATTCATCATATTCTTAAGAAAATACTATTCAATCAAATAACGAAATATACCCTCACAATAGACATATAAAAACATTAAGTCAAGCACTAACAAGAACAGTATATCAGGTGTTAACATGTGTATAGTGTTCAAAAGTTTATTTAAGGAAAATGTCTAGAAATTTCAAAACGAGAATTTCCCAAAAGTTGAACTTTGACATACCTATTACATAAAGAACATTTAGGACAAAAATTGAAGATGACAGAATCCCAGTTAACGAAAACAATCAATTACCTATTACACGACGAACAAAAAGTTAATAGCTCACTATAATTGAACTTATTTTTAAAAAATTATGAGAATTTATCATCACTAACTACTTGATGTTTGAATTTCACCCACTTACCTAGAATTGATTATGGTAATTACTTCTTATTGAATTCTACCTATTTACCTAGAATACCATCATCAACAAATCCAGTTCAGTAATCAATAATAATAATAATAGTAGGTCTTTATTCCCAGGATGTTACAGTAAATATGTGTAAATATTTACCGAAACGGGAAAGGTTGAAGATCAGTTGGTTGTATCAAAACATGNCCTGTACGTTTCAATAAACAGTGTTCACAAATTTTAGTCATTTGTATAAAGTTTCACAGAGAAACAGTCGAATGTTGTACAGCTGTAGTAAGCAAATATATTTACACATGCCTCAGTGGATAGTTTTTTCGTTATGTACATAATCTGAATGGTTCTTCAATTGTATTTGGAATACGTATTATATTCAGATTTTATGTAGTTGAATATTCAGCGATAGCATTCCTCCTACTTCTATTGTTTGAATTTTGGATAACCTTCAATATTTTTTGGAGTGAATATTCAGGTCATGTAATGAACCAGTTAATAACTATTCCACATTAAAGCAACACATACAATCAAGCTTTAAATATCTCCCATTAACAATAAAACCACTAAGAAATAAACAAAAAATATGTATTTCTGCCACGCACTAATTTTGGCACCGCTAGAGTCTTTGATTGTTGTGGTCAGGGCTTTTTCTCTTTCTCGAAAAAGATTTTTTGCCAACATTCTCATTTTTGATATTTTGTCATCAAACATGTCTGTCGATGAATTCGTTGGAACGTTGACATTGCAGTAATTTTGGTCGCAGCAGGACACGCACATCTGAAACAGAAAAATTATGTAAGTATTTGTATAGAAAATGAAGGACCCTGCAGAATCCAATGAGAGATGACTTTAGAAAAATATATTGAAACTTTTTGAACCTGTAGTTCCCAGCATGTTGATCAACAGTGTTCATGAGTTGAAGGTTTGAAAATGGACAGTTTTGTTTTAATTCAAGACTCTCACATGCTGGAGAGGTCTCTGTATCTGTAGAGTAGGGAGGGTGAGTGTAAGTCCACAGCACTTAGGCCACATGTGATCCATTGTACATCCTCCCGAGGAGTTGTCCTCCTAGGTCATCGTCCATCCTGTCTTTTCCAGGAAGGTGGACAGGTCACTGGGAGACATTTCCTTTATATCGGTAGGTGTAGGCCAAGACTCGCCGAATACACACTCTCTTATTGACTATAACTCCGGGCACTCGCACAGGACATGCCTGATAGTCTCATCTTCCTGTTGTGTTCCTTTATATCGGCAGGTGTAGGCCAAGACTCGCCGAACACACACTCTCTTATTGACGATAACTCCGGGCACTCGCACAGGACATGCCTGACAG